TCTTACCGACGATCGTGACAGTCATGGAAAACTTAATAGTCACACACCAAGTTGTCTGTGGACACCAAACATTTTGTCCACTGAAAGTTCTTCTTCCTCTAAATTCATTTACCTGGGAAGGAAGGGGAATTCTATAGGAGGAAAAATGGTTGCAGTCCCCTCTACAGGGCAATTTTCATAAAATAACTAGATAAATACATGGTAATAGACTCATGCGTTGCTTTCCCTCCCACTTTTATGCATTTCTATTGATTAGAGCAGAGGGTATAGACTGAAATTCAAAAGCAAAAACTAAAGCAGGAAGCACCAGTGACTCGGTCAATAAAGAAGTTGTCAGATGACGCAGATGCTAAGCTACAGGACTGTTTTCTTAGCACAGACTGAAATATGTTCTGGGATTCTTCTGATGGCATTGAGGAGTACACCACATCAGTCACTGGCTTCATCAATAAGTGCATCGATGATGTCGTCCCCACAGTGACTGTACGTACATACCCCAACCAGAAGCCATGGATTACAGGCAACATCCGCACTGAGCTAAAGGGTAGAGATGCCACTTTTAAGGAGTGTGATTCTAACCCGGACGCTTATAAGAAATCCCGCTATGCCCTCCGACGAACCATCAAACATGCAAAGCGTCAATACAGGACTAAGATTGAATCGTACTACACCGGCTCCGACGCTCGTTGACAAAAAATAAAAAAATAAAAATGTGGCAGGCCTTGCAAACTATAACAGACTACAAAGTGAAGAACAGCCGCGAGCTACCCAGTGACACGAGCCTACCAGACGAGCTAAATCACTTCTATGCTCGATTCGAGGCAAGCAACAAGGAAGCAAGCATGCATGAGAGCATCAGCTGTTCCGGACAACTGTGTGATCACGCTCTCCGTAGCCGATGTGAGTAAGACCTGAAAACAGGTCAACATTCACAAGGCCGCAGGGCCAGACGGATTACCAGGACGTGTACTCCGAGCATGTGCTGACCAACTGGCAAGTGTCTTCACTGACATTTTCAACATGTCCCTGACTGAGTCTGTAATACCAACATGTTTCAAGCAGACCACCATAGTCCCTGTGCCCAAGAACACTAAGGTAACCTGCCTAAATGACTACCGACCCGTAGCACTCACGTCTGTAGCCATGAAGTGCTTTGAAAGGCTGGTCATGGCTCATATCAACACCATTATCCCAGAAACCCTAGACCCACTCCAATTTGCATACTGCCCCAACAGATCCACAGATGATGCAATCTCTATTGCACTCCACACTGCCCTTTCCCACCTGGACAAAAGGAACACCTATGTGAGAACGCTATTCATTGACTACAGCTCAGCGTTCAACACCATAGTGCCCTCAAAGCTCATCACTAAGCTAAGGACCCTAGGACTAAACACCTCCCTCTGCAACTGGACTTCCTGATGGGCCGCCCCCAGGTGGTAAGGGTAGGTAACAACACACCTGCCACACTGATCCTCAACACAGGGGCCCCTCAGGGGTGCGTGCTCAGTCCCCTCCTGTACTCCCTGTTCACCCATGACTGCATGGCCAGGCATGACTCCAACACCATCATTAACACTTTTTTGGTTACTACATGATTCCATATGTGTTATTTCATAGTTTTGATGTCTTCACTATTATTCTACAATGTAGAAAATAGTAAAGAATAAAGAAAAACCCTTGAATGAGTAGGTGTGTCCAAACCTTTGACTTGTACTGTATATATTACCTCGACTAACCGGTGCCCCCGCACATTGACTCTGTACCGGTTCCCCCTGTATATAGCCTCGCTACTTTAACTTTTACTGTTATTTTACTGCTTTTATTTGTTACTTATCTATTGTTTACATAACACTTATTTTTCTTAAAACTGCATTATTTTTTATTTACAGATAGCCAGAGGCACACTCCAACACTCAGACATCATTTACAAACTAAGCATTTGTTTTTAGTGAGTACGCCAGATCAGAGGCAGTAGGGATGACCAGAGATGTTCTCCTGATAAGTGTGTGAATTTGACAATTGTCCTGTCCTGCTAAGCATTCAAAATATAACAAGTACTTTTGGGTGTTAGGGAAAATGTATGGAGTAAAAAGCACATTATTTTCCCTAGGACTGTAGTGAAGTAAAATTAAAAGTTGTAAAACATATACAATGCATTCGGAAAGTACTCAGACCCCTTTACTTTTTACACATTTTGTTACTTTACAGCCTTATTCTAAAATGGATTAAATACCGGAAATATCACATTTACATAAGTATTCAGATCCTTTACTCAGTACTTTGTTGAAGCACCTTTGGCAGCGATTACAACCTTGAATATTCTTGGGTATGACGCTATAAGCTTGGCACACCTGTATTTGGGGAGTTTCTCCCATTCTTCTCTGCAGATCCTCTCAAGCTCTGTCAGGTTGGATGGGGAGCGTCGCTGTACAGCTATTTTCAGGTCTCTCCAGAGATGTTTGATCTGGTTTAAATCTGGGCTCTGGCTGGGCCACTCAAGGACATTCAGAGACTTGTCCCAAAGCGTTGTCTTGGCTGTGTGCTTAGGGTCGTTGTCCTGTTGGAAGGTGAACCTTCGCCCCAGTCTGAGGTCCTGAGCGCTCTGGAGCAGGTTTTCATCAAGGAATCTCTCTGTACTTTGCTCTGTTAATCTTTCCCTAGATCCTGACTTTCTCCCAGTCCCTGCCTCTGAAAAACATCCCCACAGCATGATGCTGCCACCACCATGCTTCACCGTAGGGATTGGGCCATGTTTCCTCCAGACATGACGCTTGGCATTCAGGCCAAAGAGTTCAATCTTGCTTTCATCAGACCAGAGAATCTTGTTTCTCATGGTCTGAGTCCTTTAGGTGCCTTTTGGCAAACTCCAAGCAGGCAGTCATGTGCCTTTTACTGAGGAGTGGCTTCCGTCTGGCCACTGGACCATAAAGGCCTGATTGGTGGAGTGCTGCAGAGATGGTTGTCCTTCTGGAAGGTTCTCACATATTCACAGACGAACTCTGGAGCTGTCACCTCTCTGACCTAGGCCCTTCTCCCCCGATTGCTCCGTTTGGCCTGGTGGCCAGCTCTAGGAAGAGTCTTGGTGGTTCCAAACTTCTTCCATTTAAAAATGATAGAGGCCTCTGTGTTCTTGGGGACCTTCAATGCTGCAGACATTTTTTGGTACCTTTCCCCAGATCTGTGCCTCGACACAATCCTGTCTCGGAGCTCTACGGACAATTGGCTTGGTTTTTGCTCTGACAACTGTCAACTGTGGGACCTTATATAGACAGGTGTGTACCTTTCCAAATCATGTCCAATCAATTGAATTTACCAGAGGTGGACTCCTATCAAGTTGTAGGAACATCTCAATGGAAACAGGATGCACAATGAAAACAGGATGATCAATGGAAACAGGATGCACCTGAGCTCAATTTCGAGTCTCATAGCAAAGGGTCTGAATACTTATGTAAATAAGGTATTTCTGTGTTTTATTTTTAATAAATTTGCCAAAAAATCTAAAAACCTGTTTTCGCTTTGTCATTATGGGGTATTGTGTGTAGACTGATTTTTTAAAAAATGTTAGCCATTTTACAATAAGGCTGTAACGTAACAAAATGTGGAAAAAGGGAAGGGGTCTGAATACTTTCCAAATGCACTGTAAATAGTAAAGTAAAGTACAAATACTCCAAAAAAATTTACTTAAGTAGTACTTTAAAGTATTTTTACTTAGGTACTTTACACCACAGAGAACAAGAACATTTACAAATGTCAAGATAATGAGGGTAATAGTAATGTGATATTTTAATAAAATATTCACTTTCTATAGGGCATTCAATTACAGGGGTTTAGTAAACTTTCAATAGTTCAAGTTGTTTAATTACAGTACTATTCCAATAGCTAATAATAGTAGGTAAAATAAACCTTTGCCATACGAGGAAGCAAGATGACTGTCTATCAGGAACCACTGATTGATGCAAAGCTTACGAAAGTTCCTTTGAATTACTGGTATGTTCACATTTCCTCAATGCAATGATATTGGTCAGAGATGTAGCAAGCAATGTGTTCCAACAAGCCTCAAGTAGAACGTCAATAGAAAAACACAAAAAGAGGCACTTCAATCAAAAAGCATTTTTGCTTGTCTTGCTCCCAAACTCCAAACAGATGGACACAAATAAAAACCATCACTGAACATGATTAAATCAAGCCATCCAAATGTGATGAAATCTCCTCAGACATTGACACAGGGCTTGTTTACTGAGTTAGAAGAGGGCCGAAGGTCAGGTGGGGAGAGCGTCCAGCCAAACTCAACACAACAGACTGTGAAAGAGCCCAGCCAGGCTCAACACAATGTTGTGAGAGAACCCAACTAAGCTCAACACACTGCACACTGTCCCTCTGGACGGCTTTTAGACCTTTGGACTGTTTCACATAAAGACAGGGAATGGACTAGAGCAGTGGACGCTGCTGAAGGGAGGACGGCTCATAATAATGGCTGGAATGGAGTCAATGGAATGGTATCAACCACATGTGAACCACGTGTTTGATGTGTTTGGTACCATTCCATTGACTCCATTCCAGACATTATTATGAGCCGTCCTCCCCTCAGCAGCCTCCACTGGACTAGAGCTTCTGTAACAACATACAGAGCCCTATTTAGCACTTCTCTCATCTGAGTGAGAGAGATGTTGAAAACATTTTAAAAGAATGACAATTTGTCCAATTTTGCTACAATGTGAAAATTTCTGAGGACACCTTTCCTTCATAATCCTCTATGAGAAGAAGACAATGATTTGAGTAAATAACTAAGCACTTAATCTTCGTAATTAATTAAAACACCAATCATAGTATAAAAATATACTTCACATCTACAGTAGACATTCACAGAATTGTACAAAAAGCTAAAACATACATCTTTAACCTTGCCTTTCGTTTTAACACATTATGCTAGCAGACAGTTGGTTGAGTACTGATATAAATGTTTGCAAAACCCATAAAACAGATGATGGAGAAAAGTAGTCTAGGCCCAATTCCAATGTGTTATTACTTTAACACAATGTGTTATTATACTCTTGAGCACTAGCTGCTACCGAGCATCCCTCGTCATCATCCTATCTTTTCATAGACAACTGATAAAAACTTTTAAAAACCAGGATACTCGTTTGTAAACTCAAAACTAGCAGACAATCTTGGACCTCGAAAGCTCAAGTTGTGCACCCCAACCATATCGATTGGATTCCCTTAAGAAAGGTGGAGGAATTTTGTGAAGGAATAAGAAATTGGAATTGGACTTCAGAAGGATGCTACGAGTTGTGTGGTTGGTGGTTGGTTGGTGAGATGCACTCTGGGATGTGTAGTCCATGGGAAGTCAAGAGCTGTAGGCAGACTGGCTGTCAGGTTCTGGGTCGGGGTCAGAGGTGACCTCATCTCCTGCAGGGTAGATGGAGAGCTGGGTGAGGAGTTCCTCACACTGCAGGATGTGGGAGGTCCACTCCTGACACACCTCTTCCATGGAGGGGCCGCTGCCCCCGTACTCCTGGGGGAGGATGTCTTCGGAGAAGAAATCCCTCAGAGTCTCTTTGAAGGTGCTGCCGTGCATGTGGATCTAGGAATAAGACAGGAGGGCATTGACATGAATTAGCGTCACTGCCGTCACGATCAACATTGTTGCCACAATCATCAGAGACAGCATCATCATCTGAGGTTGTCATCATCATAATCTCTATCACTCCTGTTGAAAATGTATGAAAAGATGTATCCAGGTGAAACAAGAGTCAGTGCAAGAAGGTGAATGATGAAACATGGTGACTGACCCGCTGTTTGATCTTATCAGGCAGGAATGGGCGGATCATGGCGAAGACGGGTCTGAAGAATATGGGCTCGTTGATCAGATGGATCCCTCGCACCTTAAGAGGGAACGAGTCCTGAGGAGATCACATTTAAACAGAGGGTTAAAGGTAGACTCAGCGAGATGACGATGCAACGAGCAGCACCACAGATATTGAGATGAGCAGGATGCAAGACTTTGCTCTCACACAGTCACACAAAGTATCTGTGCATGTGCACGGGTGTGCTTCCTGCTGCTACAACGTGGGAGCTACAGAACCAAAACAGCGGAGAAGTTTAGCCTCACACTACAACCCTCTTAGTTGTTGCAGATATTGACTAATTACTGTTGTTTACTTTGTGCATCTATGTCATCTTGCTGATTCTACCTTTGGTACAGTATTATTACAGGCTTACTCACAGTATAGCTATTGTGTATAGCTATATTCTGTAAGAGTAACACATGAGATTTCTACAATACAGACAACTCTGGATCCAGAACTAACCTTATCCTTAGACCTTTACAAGTACTGATCATGTTTTTCTAACACTGTTTTCATTCAAAGATGATTTCTCAAACCAGCAGATGGGCCCTTTAAAACAGTAGTTTAAAATGTTCCAAATGGAGTGAAATAATAAACTCTCTTTTTTTTTTCTGTTGCAATACCCTTCTAGAAAAATTCCATTGCGTGTCCTAATGAACATGACCCAGTTCAACGGATAACCTACCGTGAGCACAGAGGAGATCCTCTTGGCCAGGGAGGGGTTGATCTGAAGGGCATGAGCGAAGCACCATCCCTGCATGTCAAAAATGGCTTTCAGTCCATTCCTCTGGGTCTCTGTCTCCTGGACGATCAGCTCAGATGTGATCAGACTGACACGGAACACCTGGTACACTGTGAAGTCTTTGGGGTTCCACTGGCCTGAGGAGACAAGCCAACACATCTCAAATGACAACATCTCAAATTACACCCTATAGATAGAGCCCTCAAATTCAAATCTTGACCTCGAAGCCAGTTCCACTGCTTTAAAAAAATGTATGTATTGCCCTCTAATCAGGGACTGATTTAGACCTGGAACACCAGGTGGGTGCAATTCATTATCAGGTAGAACAGAAAACCAGCAGTGCTCCAGACCTCGTAGGGTAAGAGTTGAATACCCCTGCTATAGAGTATACTATATTGAAACAAATACTGTAGAAGAGTATTCCATATCCTTACATAGCCGTTTACACAGTCATGGGCAGATGAATCAAAAGGAATAATGTTCAAAGCACATTTTAGGTGGTTTGATGCAGTGGTGCTGTTTGCCTGGCCTGACACCCAGACCACACCCTATGAGACTGTAGAGATGAGAACTAACCAATCCTATAGATGAGCACTCTGCTGCCGCTGTGGTCCCGGTCCCTCAGCACTCCATGGTAGTTATTCTGGAGGAGTCCAAGGACAGAGGACGGGTGCAGGTTGGCACTGATCTCTGGGCACTCTCTCCTCCAATGCTGGTAATTAACTAGTAGCTATAGATTAGATAGATATATTAGATAGATAGATAGAGCAAGAGAGAGCAGGCGAGAGAGCGAGAATAAATATTTTTGGGATTGCAACAGAGGAACTACAGCCAGCTGTCAGCCTGTCAAATCATGTCAGGCAGTGTGTTTGGAAAACACTGACTGACATTTGTACGCTATGAACAGGATATAGGGCTACTGGCATGAACCACGCCACACATTTTGTTGTGTAAACATTAACTTACACTAAGTAACCCAACCTATTCCTGCATAGTCTATCCTGCAGTGAATGTTTCGTTTTGGAGAGGTCCAAATCGTCCAACTATTGCAAAGCAAAAGATAAGACTTATTTCACATGCTTTTTGACATTATCCATGCCTGTGCTGCAATCTGGTCGTTTAAAACCTGCTTACATAGCGACAATCTGTAGCCCAAATAATTTATTGTCCCGTTAGTCCAGTTGGCATGGACCCAACTTTCTTTCACTGAGAAACAGTCTTTGAGTCAAAGTTCTAAACAAGTGCGATACGCATCAAAACCCAGCTAGCACATAACGTTCTGAGAACCATATGTTTCTTAGAGCTTGGTGAGAGTGTGGTTGTCTTATGGTTATTTTGCATACAACCTTCCCACAACTTTCAGTGAATGGTGCAGGATACCCAGCTCGCACATAACGTTCTGAGAACTACACTATTGTTCAAAAGTTTGGGGTCACTTAGAAATGTCTTTGTTTTCCATGAAAACATACATGAAATGATTTTGAATAGGAAATATAGCAAAATGCATAGGAAATGTAGTCATTGACAAGGTTAGAAATAATGATTTTTAATTGAAATAATAATTGTGTCCTTCAAACTTTGCTTTCATCAAATAATCCTCCATTTGCAGCCTTGCAGACCTTTGGCATTCTAGTTGTCAATTTGTTGAGGTAATCTGAAGAGATTTCACCCCATGCTTCCTGAAGCACCTCCCACAAGTTGGATTGGCTTGATGGGCACTTCTTACGTACCATACTGCTCCCACAACAGCTCAATAGGGTTGAGATCCGGTGACTGTGCTGGCCACTCCATTATAGACAGAATACCAGCTGACTGCTTCTTCCTGAAATAGTTGTTGCATAGTTTGGAGCTGTGCTTTGGGTCAATGTCCTGTTGTAGGAGGAAATTGGCTCCAATCAAGCGCCATCCACAGGGTATGGCATGGCGTTGCAAAATGGAGTGATAGCCTTCCTTCTTCAAGATCCCTTTTACCCTGTACAAATCTCCCACTTTACCACCACCAAATCGCCCCCAGACCATCACATTGCCTCCACCATGCTTGACAGATGGCATCAAGCACTCCTCCAGCATCTTTTCATTTGGTCTGCTTCTCACAAATGTTCTTATTTGTGATCCGAACACCTCAAACTTCGATTCGTCTGTCCATAACACTTTTTTTTCCAATCGTCCTCTGTCCAGTGTCTGTGTTCTTTTGCCCATCTTAATCTTTTCTTTTTATTGGACAGTCTGAGAGACAGCTTTTTCTTTGCAACTCTGCCTAGAAGGTCAGCATCCCGGAGTCGCCTCTTCACTGTTGAAGTTGAGACTGGTGTTTTGCGGGTACTATTTAATGAAGCTGCCAGTTGAGGACCTGTAAGGCGTCTGTTTCTCAAACTAGACACTCTAATGTATTTCTCCTCTTGCTCAGTTGTGCACCGGGGCCTCCCACTCCTCTTTCTATTCTGGTTAGAGCCAGTTTGCGCTGTTCTGTGAAGGGAGTAGTACACAGCGTTGTACGAGATCTTCAGTTTCTTGTCAAATTCTCGCATGGAATAGCCTTAACTTCTCAGAACAAGAATAGACTGACAAGTTTCAGAAGAAAGTTATTTGTTTCTGGCTATTTTGAGCCTGTAATCGAACCCACAATTGCTGATGCTCCAGATACTCAAATAGTCTCAAGAAGGCCAGTTTTATAGCTTATTTTATCAGCACAACAGTTTTCAGCTGTGCTAACATAATTGCAAAATGGTTTTCAAATGATCAATTAGCCTTTTAAAATGATAAACTTGGATTAGCAAACACAACGTGCCATTGGAACACAGGACTGATGGTTGCTGATAATGGGCCACTGTACGCCTATGTAGATATTCCACTAAAAATCTGCTGTTTCCAGTTAAAATAGCCATTTACAACATTAACAATGTTTATACTGTATTTCTGATCAATTTGATGTTATTTTAATGGACAAAAAAAATGCTTTTCTTTTGAAAACAAGGACATTTCTAACTGAGCCCAAACTTTTGAACGGTGTTGTAAATGTTTCTTAGGTTGGAATTTCAGCACTTCAGCATAATGTTTCCTACAGGTTTCCTCATGGTTCTATTTAAAACTGCATTGTTGGTTAAGGGCTTGTAAGTAAGCATTTCACTGTAAGGTCTACACCTGTTGTATTCGGCCCATGTGGCAAATAAAATTTGATTTGAAAGTAGTTCTCAAATTGTTCTCAAAACATTAAGAAAACTTTCCAGAAAAACCACAAGAAAGAACATGGCACGCAAGCTCCATCCTTGTGGTGCAGTGGATTAATTCCATGGATAGAGAACAGAAGATCTTAGGTTTGAATCTCATTGATGCCGTGCCACAAAAAATAAAATAAATGGTTGCATGATTAATGCCTAAGCAAATTAATTTCCATGTGTCCTATCTGTGCTTGGAGTCCAAAACAGCTAAACTAAGCTATCAGTTTTATTGAGTCTTATTGAAACATGTTCTCAGAACGTTAATTATCTTCAAATAACCTATCATTTCCGTTCTCAGAAAATTAATAAAACCTCCTAGGAAAATGTTCAGGGAACCATAGTAAAATGTTCTCAGAACCTCCCTGCAATCTTAAAAGGAACATTCTCAGAACAGGCGAAATTGTAACTTCTGTTCTCAGAACATTTAAAAAGCTTTCAGTTTTACTGGTCAGGACACTTATGTCTTCGTTCCCAGAACCAATGGGAAACCAAAAACTTACATTCCCACAACTTCCAAGGAACTAATGTGTTAGCTGGGCAACATGCGGCCTAGCCAAAACAGTTTCAATTTCTCAATACCTTTAACCCAACGAGATACCAACCTTCAGTGACAGCTCAACATCAAAGTCTCTCGCTCGCAGAAACTTTATCAGAAAACTGTCCGACCAATTCAAACTTTCCTGCGGGTCGATGATGTCTTTCTGTGCCCTCTGTCTCAGTTCTAATAAATATGGTTTGACAAAGTTGGAGTCGTCGGGCAAACTATTTAGCTCTCCCTCGTAATCAGTCTGCTCTCCGGACTTCATGTCGGTACCGTATCACATTTCACGCCCATCACACACAAAAGTAGGTTACTCTATATACATAAAGGAGAATGAAGAAACTTCCTTCGGCGCAATCAGAATAGGCTACTGTAATAATGTCTCGCTCGTCAACACGCACGCGGCTCACTTACTCACCTCTGTGCAACAAGTCAAATACTTTAAGCGCGTGTCAACAAAAACGATGAAATCAAGGCTGTACAGCCTTTTACCGGTCAGGGGTAAAACTTTGTTTTCAAATACTTCTCGACCTAAAGTTCACTGCCATGATACGTGGCAGTAGGGCAAGACGGTGGAAAAACTTGTCCAGCGACTTGAGCAATATTTGAGCTATTAGACCAAATAAATTGTTCTATTATGCTACAATTCAAACACTCAAATAAGGCAGGCTATCGGTCGTCTATTTTGTCATGCATCACTCCCTAAACGGAATCAAATACTTCCAGGGGAGAATGATCAGGCATAGATTGTAACGTTACAAAGTGTCTGTAAAATGTTATTTTTTCTAGACTAATTGTATCCATTGCATTGATACAAATTGTTACATTGTTATAAAGTGTTTCAACCTTCTTCCACGAAAGGGCGGAAGGGTATTGACCACATTTGATAGCGGACGTCTAGGCATGGGCATATTTTTTGGTGCCAAATCAAATGTGCCTGGCCCTGGCCTAGACTATAAAATTCCCGTTTTATAGGAGAATCCTGATAAACAGAGAACAGCTTCAATATCCAAGTATTACAATATTTCATCCAATTTCTGTTCCACCTATTAAAAAGGTTTCAGGCTGCCAAGCATGGGCAAGAAACGTTGTCTATTACTTTGAGTAAGCTATAAGAATACATTTATTTAACACCTCCCTATGCAAAAGAAACCAAAATGTATAGGAAAATATTCTCACCATTAGGCCAGCTACATTCAAACATTATGGAATAGAATGCCCTCTAAAGGTCATAGAAACAGCGCCACCCGCAGGACAAAGAAATAGTGGAAGAGAATGGATAAAGAGGTAATAAATAAATTCAGAAAGATGGAAATAAAGAGCAACAAGTACAGAAATGTTTTGTTTGACTTTTTTTAACTCAAAAAACGTGTAACAGGGACAGGGAGGCGATCCAGGCACCTCAGTTAGCAGAATGCCAAATGCATGAGGAGTACTCCTTTAAGGTAGTAGTTACAGTGACCAGGGGGTACAGGGTACGATGACAGTACATGTTAAAAAACTGGAACATAAAAACAACGCTGGTGTGATATATGGGACATGGGTAACCGTCCGTTTCATGTAGTTCATACAGGGCCCTTCCTTCACTTGGCTTTTTTCAGTCTTTATAGCGTTCTAGGCATAAGGGAAATATGGTAACGTTTCACAAACGTTCTAGAGCTTTGTTTTGGTCCAGGCTTTTGGTACAGTAGGTTCCACTCTTCTTCCATAGGCGGATCTATTTGAGTGGCAGCTCTGAGAGATCCAGTGATCCAATGAGAAGCGACAGGGAGACGGGTCCAGTGCAACTCCACCCTTAGCATTCATAGCTGGAACATACTCCAAGCAAGGTGTTTGGGTGTGTGTTTGTGTGTACAGGGTATGCTTGTAAGCAGGGTGTGTGTAAGCACTTTGGAGAAAGTGTGCATGTATATTTACAAGGCTTTGTATGTGTCTGTGGGCCCTCCAGCACACTCTTTTAAGGGTGCAACGTTACTTTAGGAATGTAACAAAAGGATAGCGATATTATCTTATTCCCCCACTAGGTTCATTGGTTGACCTAGGTGGTGCTGTCTGAAAAAGTAACAACAGGTGACCATCACAATCTTTTCAAGGGGCGGGGGACCCAAGGTGCACAGGGTGTTGAATTGTTACTAGTTCTCTTTGGGCCCCAGCTTCTGCGTTTTCTGCTTATTCTGTGTCTACTATGGTTCTTTTGAGCAGCTAAAGTGCACATGTAGGTACACATTTCTGGCAAATAATTCAGATGAGGTGACACTAGTTAAATAGGGACTATTTGATCTACAATGCACTGAGGCCCAATGAAAACCAACAGTTTGCCCTGAGGCACTAGGGTCTCTCCTCCCTCTGCTGCAAACATCGCTTTATACTTATGACTTATTACAGGGATAATGCATGGCTGTTATTGCTAACCAGCTCCATTCAAGTCTAAGAGCCTCCAAGGTCGGCTCCATCTGAGCTGGTCATGACATGGTCGACAAGAAAGCTCATCCATCACAGGGACGGGGCATATCTGAAATGGCACCCTGTTGCCTATATAGTGCCCCTAAGTTAAAAATAAGTGCCCTATATAGGGAATAGGGTGTCATTTCGGATGAAGCTACAAATCGATTACCATGTTGTCTTTACGTGGTTATCTTCTTCATCACATTATTTAAGACAAGTTCCCCCAGACATTTAAGCTCCATCAGGCTTTCCACAATCACTATTGCGGTTGACCTCTACACTACGAAATGCAGCTTGAACTTTAAGAAGTATAGGCCAAATCCTAACCTGAGATACACCTGGGTTAACTCAAACATTTGAACATTGTGCATTAATGTCATTGGGAGACGAGTTATCCGGGAATATCAAGTTAGGATTCCGCCCTAAATGATTGCTTATATCTTTACAGGGTTAGTAACTCTACCAGGGCACACAATGGGGGTTAAAACCCTCAGGTGGCTTTTGGGAGAGGCAGGACTTCTGGGAAATTGTGTTTACTGAACATTTAAAGCTTTTGCCTTCATTAGAACTGAGAATCTGCATTGAATGCATTGTAATATTCAAGTCGCCTTAGGTGAGCCAACGCAGACACTTCTCTCCAGGACTAAATGTGAGAACGCACACACATCGTGTTTCTTGGCTGGAATTACTAACAGAATGATACATTCAACAAATGACCCAAAGTGAGAAAGAAGTGTTCAAGCTAGGAACGAATAAAAACTATTGGATCATGGAATGACTTAGATTTCTGCTACAGAGGAATATAATGTTTTATAGTTTAATTCAACTGAAAATATTAATTTCTGTTATCTAGTAAAATAAAAGACGCTAGACACACCCAGGAAGTGGAAATCAGAATGGACAGGGTGGGTGGATCAGAATGGAGATGATTGGTAGGTGAAGAGGCCAATCCCTGCACATCCCCAGACACACACGACACCGCACTCCTAACTGGCATTGGGTGTGCTGCCCTGAGATCTAATGGAAAGGCACGGACCAGGAACAACTCTGGGCCCTAATGATAGCACGGTCAGTTTAAACTCCTGGCCCTACTGATGGCTAAACTGAAGTTGAGAACAGAGCTCTGCGTTATGCTGCTTGGTGGACACAAGGCTGCGCAACAACGCAGATAGAACTAGGATGTCTAGAACAGACGGTATGTATTAAAAGTGAGTAGGCCTCAGCTTTTCTCCTGACCATGTGACCTGACAAGGAAAAACTCATGTCACATGACCAAGAAAAAGTGAGGGCTCTTAATAGTGAAATATCTTCTATAGAATCTATTTATATCTACTGTGCAATGTCACTTATGGGGGCGTTGTGCCGTGGAAGCACAGCCCAGCTCTCAATGGAATGTTGCAGATATTTGGCTAGCTCTGAGAAGAGCAAGAAGAGATATAACGATAGTAGAAAATCCTGCCATTCTCACACCTACCACGGCTTACTGAGAGAGACTGCATTAGCTCACACTGGTAACTAAAAATACTAGATTTGGCATGAAAGTAAACATAATGCTATAGTTAAACCATATTGGAAGGTTCTGATGATAGGGAAGGGGTGGGCTTGTTTTGAGAGAATTGTCCAATCGGAGCCTCCTGAGGGTTTTTGAACATACAAAGTCATTTTATAGGATGAGATGCCCTCAAGCAATGGTCTCTGATCAGACTTAGAATCCCCCTCCCCAACAGGTCCTGGAACAGTTCTTATGGGCAACATCCGCAGACACTTTAGCAGCCATTTCAAATCAGAACCACCCATTTTTTAAATATATATATTTTTTTCACTCCCAAATGTTTTAGGCATCTCTCCCCTCGCATAAATAACAATTAAATGTACATTCAACAAAATAAAATAAGAACCAAGGTATTCGTGGAAGAACTTATAGCACATGGAAAGAACAGCCACATTAATATAGTCATCTTCATCATCATGGTAATCCAAAAATGTAATTAGAAAGTAAAAAAAACAGACTGATTGCAGAGGAGTGTCTGATCACTGTTCAGAGTCCATCGATCTCAGTCTTTTTTTATATTAGATCATTTCTGATTAACCATCTTGAAATCAAAAGTTAGTCCACCCGTTTGTTCTTCCTGATATCTACATCAACATTTACAGTCTTGGTGTTTCGTCTCTTCCTCATGAATCTGAAATTACGGGTGACGTCAACTCTGTACTAAATGGTCCATGAACGTAACAAAACAAAGTGGCTTAAAAGTAGCTGTTCCAAGGTGTGTGTCATATTTTTATGTCTCCAATTTTGTTCATCTATCTACGCCTATATTCATGTCTTTGTACTCTCTGTGTGTGTGTGTGTGTGTATTTATGCGTGTTGTATTTATGTCAATACATGTAAGGTGCAGATAGGCAGCTCTGTGATGGACTGATTGGAGAAGCTGACGAGGGGGCAGGTCAATCAAATGATCGATCGACTGATTGATGGGGGAGGAAGGGTTTCAGGGGGTCAGGGGGGCGTGCCCCTAGGAGGGGCGTGGTCCTTTAAAGAGGTTCTGAACCCATGCTATGGATGCAATGGGTCTGGCCTGATGTCAGGTGTCCTCGTCAGTGTCCTCGATGAGAACTTTGGTGTCCCGGGTCTTGGTCCTGAGAGGGAGGGAGAGAGAAAGTTTAGTAGACGGCAACACAGCCATACGTTTTATATAAGGTGTGTGCGTTATTACCATACTGGGAAGCGAGGCATGGCCGTCTCAGGGACATGCTGTAGCATTGTGTGGGTGTGTATGCATGCGCATGCCAATGTGTGTGCATGTCAATGTGTGTGTGTAGCTATTCTATAACCATACTGGGAAGCGAGGCGTGGCCGTCTCAGAGACATGCTGTAGGAGCGTTTCCAGTTCTTCTTGCCCAGGCGGTTCCTGACTCCATCCTCCTGGTCCATCATCTGCTCCAGCAGCGTCTGGTCGTCAGCATTCAGCGGAGCCACTGAGATGTCCCTCACGGCACGGAACTCACCACAGTTATTCAGGTGCTCGTTCTCTAGACGGAAGAAGTTCCAGACAAAACGCCTGCAGTGGAGAGGGGGAGGAAGAGAATATCAAGTGAAATGTTGTTGAGATGTTTCAATGTTCGTATGGGAAGAGAAAGAGAGAATTATGTATGAAATATCCTTGAGGTATATAGTGGCTAAATAGTTGCCTTTTAAAATCTTCTGGAGAAAGAGCTCCACCTAGAGGGCACCATAACAGTAGGCAGACCTGAAATGTCCATTCACAGGAAATATGATTTTGGCATAGAAAAAGGGTGTTTGAGAGACAGAGGGTAGGGAGAAATAAAGAGAAAGGAAGAGAGAATGCAAAGAAAATATAGAACACAAGAGACAGAGAGCGAGAGAGAGCGAGATGAATGCTATTTATCCCTAATCAGAGAGTACACAGTGGCAGAATACCTGACCACTGTGGCTGACCCAAAATTAAGGAAAGCTTTGACTATGTACAGACTCAGTGAGCATGGCCTTGCTATTGAGAGAGGCCGCCGTAGGCAGACCTGGCTCTCAAGAGAAGACTGGCTATGTGCACACTGCTCACAAAATGAGATGGAAACCGAGCTGCACTTCCTAACCTCCTGCCAAATGTATGACCATATTAGAGACACATATTTACCTCAGATTACACAGACCCACAAAGAATTCCAAAACAAATCCAATTTTGATAAACTCCCATGTCTATTAGGTGAAATACCACAGTGTGCCAAAAGAAAAGGGCAACCAGTGAAGAACAAACACCATTGTAAATACAACCCATACAGTGCCTTGCAAAAGTATTCATCCCCCTTGGCGTTTTTCATATTTTGTTGCATTACAACCTGTAATTTAAATTGATTTTTATTTGGATTTCATGTAATGGACATACACAAAATAGTCCAAATTGGTGAAGTGAAATGAAAAAAATTACTTGTTTCAAAAAATTCTAAAAAATAAATAACGGAAAAGTGGTGCGTGCATATGTATTCACCCCTTTGCTATGAAGCCCCTAAATAAGATCTGGTACAACCAATTACCTTCAGAAGTCACATAATTAGTTAAATAAAGTCCACCTGTGTGCAATCTAAGTGTCACATGATCTGTCACATGATCTCAGTATATATACACCTGTTCTGAAAGGCCCCAGAGTCTGCAACAACACTAAGTAATGGGCACCACCAAGCAAGTGGCACCATGAAGACCCAAGGAGCTCTCCAAACAGGTCAGGGACAAAGTTGTGGAGAAGTATAGACCCGAGAGACAGATTCCAACACCTGTCAAATGTAAACAAATCCTCCTCCAAATATGGTATTTTACAGTTAATACCTTCAATGGCACTCACACACACAAAGTCCCCCCCCCCCCCCCCCCAAAAAAAAATACTACTATTATGGTTATGAATGTATGGCACTCCTTTATGTACAATAGCTACTAGCTACCATTTTCTATTAGATTGTTCTTTTTAAGTAACACTGCATACTCCATAACCCCTGAGGGGGCATTGACTGACTGGTCCGTTGTGACAAAGCTCTTAAAAGAAAAGGAGACAAAACGAGAATGGACTCTACCTACATGTGTATTTATCCTACTGTTTTTACCAAACAAATGTCAATTAATTTTACCCGAAACTTTGAACATCCCACGGAGCACCATTAAATCCATTATTAAAAAATGGAAAGAATATGGCAACACAACAAACCTGCCAAGAGAGGGCCGCCAACCAATACTCACAGACCAGGCAAGGAGGGCATTAATCAGAGGCAACAAAGAGACCAAAGATAACCCTGAAGGAGCTGCAAAGCTCCACAGCGGAGATTGGAGTATCTGTCCATAGGACCACTTTAAGCCGTACACTCCACAGAGCTGGGCTTCACGGAAGAGTGACCAGAAAAAAGCCATTGCTTAAAGAAAAAAATAAGCAAACACGTTTAGTGTTCGCCAAAAGGCATGTGGGAGACTCCCCAAACATATGGAAGAAGGTACTCTGGTCAGATGAGACTAAAATTGAGCTTTTTGGCCATCAAGGAAAACGCTGTCTGGCGCAAACCCAACACCTCTCATCACCCCGAGAACACCATCCCCACAGTGAAGCATGGTGGTGGCAGCATCATGCTGTGGGGATGTTTTTCATCAGCAGGGACTGGGAAACTGGTCAGAATTGAAGGAATGATGGATGGCGCTAAATACAGGGAAATTGAGGGAAACCTGTTTCAGTCTTCCAGAGATTTGAGACTGGGACGGAGGTTCACCTTCCAGCAGGACAATGACCCTAAGCATACTGCTAAAGCAACACTTGAGTGGTTTAAGGGGAAACATTTAAATGTCTTGGAATGGCCTACTCAAAGCCCAGACCTCAATCCAATTGAGAATCTGTGGTATGACTTAAAGATTGCTGTACACCAGCAGAACCCATCCAACTTGAAGGAGCTGGAGCAGTTTTGCCTTGAAGAATGGGCAAAAATCCCAGTGGCTAGATGTGCCAAGCTTATAGAGACATACCCCAAGAGACTTGCAGCTGTAATTGCTGCAAAAGGTGGCTCTACAAAGTATTGACTTTGGGGGGGTGAAGTTATGCACGCTCAAGTTCAGTTTTTTTGTCTTATGCATGTTGGGTAAATCAAATGATACAAACCCCCCAAAAAATAAATTTTAATTCCAGGTTGTAAGGCAACAAAATAGGAAAAATGCCAAGGGGGTGAATACTTTCGCAAGCCACTGTATTTTTGTATTTATTTTCCCTTTTGTACTGTAACTATTTGCACATCATTATAACACTGTACATAGCCATAATATGACATTTGAAATGTGTCTATTCCTTTGACACCTTTGTGAGTGTAATGTTTACTGTTCATTTCTGATTGTTTATTATCTATTTCACTTGCTTTGGCAATATAAACATATGTTTCCTATGCCAGTAAAGCCCTTTGAATTTAATTGAGTGAGAAATAGTGAGAGAAAGAGAGGGGGCGAGAGATAGTGAGAGAGGGGTAGAGAGAGATAGGTAGTGAGAGAGAGTGAGACAGATAGTGAGAGAGAGGGGGAGAGAAAGAGATAGTGAGAGAAAGGGGGAGAGACATAGTGAGAGAGAGAGAGAGAGAGAGGGGGGGGGGGGGGGGGGGGAAAGATAGTGAGAGAGATAGATAGTGTGAGAAAGAGAGGGAGAGAGAGATAGTGAGTGTTCTCACCTGAAGACCTCCAGAGGGGCTAGGATGGTGGCCACGATGTCTGCAGCTGAGGGTATCCCACTGACCGTGCTCAGGGAGAGGGGTATCGTCCAGGCAAAACGCAGCAGCACATCCTCCAGTATGGCACAGTAGTAGTAGGCCTGAAAACACACATTATCATCACATACACATCTTCTGAAATGACAGAAATAGTAGGCCCCCAAAAAATATTTTAATGATTATTTTATAAATTATCAGACATCCTCTCTGTTCCTCTTTGAGGCATATGCTTTCGCCAACAATATATATTAAGTACCAGTCAAAAGTTTGGACACACCTACTCACTCCAGGGTTTTTCTTTATTTTAACTATTTTCTACATTGTAAAATAATAGAAGACATCAACACTATGAAATAACACATATGGAATTATATAGTAACCAAAAAAAGTGTTAAACAAATATATATTTCTGATTCTTTAAAGTAGCCACCCTTTGCCTTGATGACAACTTTGCACACTCTTGGCATTATCTCAACCAGCTTCATGAGGTAGTCACCTGAAATGCATTCCTTCTTAAATGCATTTGAGCCAATCAATTGTGTTGTGACGAGGTAGGGGTGGTATACAGAAGATAGCCCTATTTGGTAAAAGACCAAGTCCATATTATGGCAAGAACAGCTCAAATAAGCAAAGAGAAACGACAGTCCATCATTACTTTATGCCATGAAGGTCAGTCAATACGGAACATTTCAAAAACTTTGAAAGTTTCTTCAAGTGCAGTCGCAAAAACCATCAAGCGCTATGATGAAACTGGCTCTCATGAGGACCGCCACAGGAATGGAAGACCCAGAGGATAAGTTAGAGTTACCAGCCACAGAAATTGCAGCCCAAATAAATGCTTCAGAGTTCAAGTAACAGACACATCTCAACATCAACTGTTCAGAGGGGACTGTGTGAATCAGGCCTTCATGGTCAAATTGCTGCAAAGAAACCACTACTAAAGGACACCAATAAGAAGAAGAGACTTGCTTGGGCCAAGAAACACGAGCAATCGACATTAGATCGGTGGAAATCTGTCCTTTGGTCTGATGAGTCCAGATTTGAGAGACGTGGTGCAGGTGAACGGATGATCTCCGCATGTGTGGTTCCCACCGTGAAGAATGGAGGAGGAGGTGGAGAAGGTGTTATGGTGCTTTGCTGGTGACACTGTCTGTGATTTATTTAGAATTCAAGGCACATTTAACCAGTATGGCTACCACAGCATTCTGCAGCGATACGCCATCCCATCTGGTTTGTGCTTAGTGGGACTATCATTTATTTTTCAACAGGACAATGACCCAAAACACACCTCCAGGCTGTGTAAGGGCTATTTGACCAAGAAGGAGAGTGATGGAGTGCTGCATCAGATGACCTGGCCTCCACAATCACCCGACCTCAACCCATTTGAGATGGTTTGGGATTAGTTGGACCGCAGAGTGAAGGAAAAGCGGCCAACAAGTGCTCAGCATGTAGGAACTCCTTCAAGACTGTTGGAAAAGCATTCCTCATGAAGCTGGTTGAGAGAATGCCAAGTGTGTGCAAAGCTGTCATCAAGGCAAAGGGTGGCTACTTTGAAGAATCTAAAATATATTTTGATTTGTTTAACACTTTTTTTGGGTTACTACATGATTCCATACGTGTTATTTCATAGTTTTGATGTCTTCACTATTATTCTACAATGTAGAAAATAGTCAAAATAAAGAAAAGCCCTTGAATGAGTAGGTGAGTCCAAACTTTTGACTGGTACTGTATATTGAACAAAAATATAAACGCAACATGTAGTGTTGGTCCCATGTTTCATGAGCTGAAACAAAATATCCCAGAAATGTTCACAAATTTTTATACATCCCTGTTAGTGAGCATTTCTCCTTTGCCAAGATAATCCATCCGCCTGACTGGTGTGGCATATCAAGAAGCTGATTAAACAGCAGGATCATTACACAGCTGCACCTTGTGCAGGGGACAATAAAATGCACTCTACATTTCAGTTTTGTCACACAACACAATGCCACAGAGGTCTCAAGTTTTGAGGGAGCGTGCAATTGTCATGCCGACTGCAGGAATGTCCACCAGAGCTGTTGCCAGAGAATTGAATGTTCATTTCTCTACCATAAGCCACCTCCAACTTTGTTTTAGAGAATTTGGCATTGTCGTGCCATTCATCCGCCGCCATCACCTCATGTTTCAGCAAGATAATGCACGGCCCCATGTTGCAAGGATCTGTACACAATTCCTGGAAGCTGAAAATGTCCCAGTTCTTCCATGGCCTGCATACTCACCAGACATGTCACCCATTGAGCATGTTTGGGATGCTCTGGATCGACATGTATGACAGCCTGTTCCAGTTCATGACAATATCGAGCAACTTCACACAGCTATTGAAGAGGAGTGGGACAACATTCTATAGGCCACAATCAACTCTATGCAAAGGAGATGTGTTGCGCTGCATGAGGCAAATGGTGGTCACACCAGATACTGACTGGTTTTCTGATCCCCACCCCTACCTTTGAAAAAAAATGTGTCTGTGACCAACAGATGCATATCTGTATTCCCAGTCATGTGAAATCCATAGATTAGGGCCTAATTAATTTATTTCAATTTACTTATTTCCTTATATATGAACTGTAACCCAGTAAATCTTTGAAATTGTTACATGTTGCATTTATATTTTTGTTCAGTATATACAGTGGGGAGAACAAGTATTTGATACACTGCCGATTTTGCAGGTTTTCCTACTTAGAAAGCATGTAGAGGTCTGTCATTTTTATCATAGGTACACTTCAACTGTGAGAGACGGAATCTAAAACAAAAATCCAGAAAATCACATTGTATGATTTTTAAGTAATTAATTTGCATTTTATTGCATGACAAAAGTATGTGATCACCTACCAACCAGTAAGAATTCCAGCTCTCACAGACCTGTTAATTTTTCTTTAAGAAGCCCCCCTGTTCTCCATTCATTACCTGTATTAACTGCACCTGTTTGAACTCGTTACCTGTATAAAAGACACCTGTCACACACTCAATCAAACAGTCTCCAACCTCTCCACAATGGCCAAGACCAGAGAGCTGTGTAAGGACATCAGGGATAAAATTGTAGACCTGCACAAGGCTGGGATGGGCTACAGGAAAATAGGCAAGCAGCTTGGTGAGAAGGCAACAACTGTTGGCGCAATTATTAGAAGTTCAAGATGACGGTCAATCACCCTCGGTCTGGGGCTCCATGCAAGATCTCACCTCGTGGGGCATCAATGATCATGAGGAAGGTGAGGGATCAGCCCAGAACTACACGGCAGGACCTGGTCAATGACCTGAAGAGAGCTGGGACCACAGTCTCAAAGAAAACCATTAGTAACACACTACGCTGTCATGGATTAAAATCCTGCAGCGCACGCAATGTCCCCCTGCTCAAGGCAGCGCATGTCCAGGCCCGTCTGAAGTTTGCCAATGACCATCTGGATGATCCAGAGGAGGAATGGGAGAAGGTCATGTGGTCTGATGAGACAAAAATAGAGCTTTTTGGTCTAAACTCCACTCGCCGTGTTTGGAGGAAGAAGAAGGATGAGTACAACCCCAAGAACACCATCCCAACCGTGAAGCATGGAGGTGGAAACATCATTCTTTGGGGATGTTTTTCTGCAAAGGGGACAGGACGACTGCACCGTATTGAGGGGAGGATGGATGGGGCCATGTATCGCGAGATCTTTGCCAACAACCTCCTTCCCTCAGTAAGAGCATTGAAGATGGGTCGTGGCTGGGTCTTCCAGCATGACAACGACCCGAAACACACAGCCAGGGCAACTAAGGAGTGCCTCCGTAAGAAGCATCTCAAGGTCCTGGAGTGGCCTAGCCAGTCTCCAGACCTGAACCCAATAGAAAATCTTTGGAGAGAGCTGAAAGTCCGTATTGCCCAGCGACAGCCCCTGCTTTTCTGATGTATCAAATACTTATGTAATGCAATAAAATGCAAATTAATTACTTAAAAATCATACAATGTGATTTTCTGGATTTTTGTTTTAGATTCCGTCTCTCACAGTTGAAGTGTACCTATGATAAAAATTACAGACCTCTACATGCTTTGCAAGTAGGAAAACCTGCAAAATCGGCAGTGTATCAAATAATTGTTCTCCCCACTGTATATATGATTAAATCAGCACCTTTATTCAATATTTTGGTAGGTATAGCTTTTTTTCAAAGGTGTATACTAACTTTCTGAGGGTAGACGATCTCCTCTCTGAGTAATGTGTTATCGCCTGCGTTGCGGTCAAACAAGCCCCAGTCCATCTTCAGGTCCCACACCAGGGTGTAACAGGAACTGACTATGGAACAGCCAATCAGCAGGTAGAAGAAGATCTTAGCTTCGTTGTGACTCGCAGCTAGGAAGAGAGAGGCAGAGGCATACCAGCTTGACACCAAAATATTGAAAACACAAACATATTGAGAAGGTCAAATAAATAAGTGAGTAAACATTGTTTTATAAAGGACATTTCATGCTGAAACCCTCAAATGAAACACCAATGGTATTCACTAAGTTTATGGTTTATATTTAGGAGAATGTTTTACAGCTTTGTCATTCTATTTTTTAATTTTTTAATAATCTTATTCAATTATTTGATATATTTTACATGTGATAAAGTCACACAGAGGGACAGAGATTATTATAGACACCAGTGATAATCTGAAGTACCCAAAAGAGCCACTAGATGTATTGTGCTAGATTATATAAAATCCTTGAAAGATACCAAAATTCTGGTACTTTACTGGTAAACTTCTAAAGTTTCCAGTAATATACCCTCCCTTTGCAACCCTAATACAGTGGGGGGGGAAAATCACATTGTAGGATTTTTAATGAATATATTTGCAAATTATGGTGGAAAATAAGTATTTGGTCAATAACAAAAGTTTGTTGGCAATGACACAGGTCAAACGTTTTCTGTAAGTCTTCACAAGGTTTTCACACACTGTTGCTGGTATTTTGGCCCATTCCTCCATGCAGATCTCCTCTAGAGCAGTGATGTTTTGGGGCTGTCGCTGGGCAACACGGACTTTCAACTCCCTCCAAAGATTTTCTATGGGGTTGAGATCTGGAGACTGGCTAGGCCACTCCAGGACCTTGAAATGCTTCTTACGAAGCCACTCCTTCGTTGCCCGGCGGTGTGTTTGGGATCATTGTCATGCTGAAAGACCCAGCCACGTTTCATCTTCAATGCCCTTGCTGATGGAAGGAGGTTTTCACTCAAAATCTCACGATACATGGCCCCATTCATTCTTTCCTTTACACGGATCACTCGTCCTGGTCCCTTTGCAGAAAAACAGCCCCAAAGCATGATGTTTCCACCCCCATGCTTCACAGTAGGTATGGTGTTCTTTGGATGCAACTCAGCATTCTTTGTCCTCCAAACACGACGAGTTGAGTTTTTACCAAAAAGTTATATTTTGGTTTCATCTGACCATATGACATTCTCCCAATCCTCTTCTGGATCATCCAAATGCACTCTAGCAAACTTCAGACGGGCCTAGACATGTACTGGCTTAAGCATGGGGACACGTCTGGCACTGCAGGATTTGAGTCCCTGGCGGCGTAGTGTGTTACTGATGGTAGGCTTTGTTACTTTGGTCCCAGCTCTCTGCAGGTCATTCACTAGGTCCCCCCGTGTGGTTCTGGGATTTTTGCTCACCGTTCTTGTGATCATTTTGACCCCACGGGGTGAGATCTTGCGTGGAGCCCCAGATCGAGGGAGATTATCAGTGGTCTTGTATGTCTTCCATTTCCTAATAATTGCTCCCACAGTTGATTTCTTCAAACCAAGCTGCTTACCAACGAACTATCATGGTCCAAACACACCAAGACAGTCGTGAAGAGGGCACGACAAAGCCTATTCCCCCTCAGGAGACTAAAAAGATTTGGCATGGGTCCTCAGATCCTCAAAAAATTCTACAGCTGCACCATCGAGAGCATCCTGACTGGTTGCGTCACCGCCTGGTATGGCAACTGCTTGGCCTCTGACCGCAAGGCACTACAGAGGGTAGTGCGTACGGCCCAGTACATCACTGGGGCAAAGCGTCCTGCCATCCAGGACCTCTATACCAGGCGGTGTCAGAGGAAGGCCCTCAAAATTGTCAAAGACTCCAGCCACCCTAGTCATAGACTGTTCTCTCTGCTACCGCACGGCAAGCGGTACCGGAGTGCCAAGTCTAGGTCCAAAAGACTTCTCAACAGCTTCTACCCCCAAGCCATAAGACTCCTGAACAGCTAATCATGGCTACCCGGACTATTTGCACTGCCCCCCCCCACCCCATCCTTTTTACGCTGCTGCTACTCTGTTAAGTATTTATGCATAGTCACTTTAACTCTACCCACATGTACATATTACCTCAACTACCTCAACTAGCCGGTGCCCCCGCACATTGACTCTGCAACGGTACCCCCCTGTATATATAGCCTCCCTACTGTCACTTTATTTTACTTCTGCTCTTTTTTTCTCAACACTTTTTTTGTTGTTGTTTTATTCTTACTTTTTTTGTTTAAAATAAATACACTGTTGGTTAAGGGCTGTAAGTAAGCATTTCACTGTAATGTCTGCACCTGTTGTATTCGGCGCATGTGACCAATAAAATTTGATTTGATTTGATTTGACCTATTGCAGATTCAGTCTTCCCAGCCTGGTGCAGGTCTACAATTTTGTTTCTAGTGTCCTTTGACAGCTCTTTGGTCTTGGCCATAGTGGAGTTTGGAGTGTGACTGTTTGAGGTTGTGGACAGGTGTCTTTTATACTGATAACAAGTTCAAACAGGTGCCATTAATACAGGTAACGAGTGGAGGACAGAGGAGCCTCTTAAAGAAGAAGTTACAGGTCTGTGAGAGCCAGAAATCTTGCTTGTTTGTAGGTGACCAAATACTTATTTTCCACCATAATTTGCAAATAAATTCATTAAATATTCTACAATGTGATTTTCTGGATTTTTTTTCTCAATTTGTCTGTCATAGTTGACGTGTACATATGATGAAAATTACAGGCCTCTCTCATCTTTTTAAGTGGGAGAACTTGCACAATTGGTGGCTGACTAAATACTTTTTTCCCCCACTGTATATCTACTGTACTAATGTCTGAGGAGTACAGTAGTATTATTATAATACAGTATCAGGACACTTACGATTCTCTTTGTGAGTGCTGTACAGGGCAGCGAAGGTGACCACGAAGAAAGTGGTGGAGTATTTCCCGGCGTTGACCAGGTGAGGGAAAGCCCGTTTGGAGTCGCGGTAACGCCGCAGGCACTGCACGAAGCGGAACCATGCCGGTAGACACTGGATCACGGCCCGCACTCCGTACGAGTACGAGTGACACACGCCTCCACCTATCGGAAAACACATTGATTATAAATGAACAGATAAAATCACGCACACGGTATACGAGTAGGAGTGACAAACACCAGCACCTATCTCAATGATTATCAATCAACCAATAAAATCTGCCGAATATGTTCCATTGAAATTCCCCTCTGTTGGATGGATTGGATATTTTCTTTCCAGAAATGCAATTCAACATACTCAATTGACTTGAGTTTTAGATGGAGTTGACTCCAACACTTCTCACCCATAAAATCAATAATATTGATAAAACATGCTTGAACAGGGCTAGGTGGCGGTGGTGGTGTGTTTGTTTGGACTGGATAATGTTTGTTGTGTTTGCATTATGCGTGTTTGCAGTGAGCTGTATGTGTGGACTAGGTTATGTTTGTGACTGGGCTATGTTTGTTTGGACTCAAGTTAGCTTTGTTTGGACGAAAGTCTTGAGGGTATGTTTAGTGTGGGCTAGATTGGGCCGTAGGCTTGTTTTGACTGAGCTTTGTGTGTTTGGATAAGGCTGTGTTGAGTTGTGTTGTGTTGAGTTGTGTGTGTGTGAGAAAGAGAAATACAGACAGAGAGAGGAGAGAAGGACAAAGGAGAGGACAGAAAAAATAAGAAAAGCCCCGATTGTTGAACTGACGGATTGAAGGTCTGAAACTCTAACAAGCTTATTTTCAATGGAGCTTGGAGTGTGTTATTGTGTGTGTGTATACAGTGCATTCGGAAAGTATTCAGACCCCTTGACTTTTTCTACATTTTGTTACGTTACAGCCTTATTCTAAAATTGATTAAATTACTTTTTTCCCACATTAATCTACACACAATACCTCATAACGACTAATTTATTTACATAAATATTCAGACCCTTTGCAATGAGACTCGAAATTGAGCTCAGGTGCATCCTGTTTCTATTGATCATCCTTGAGATGTTTTCTACAACTTGATTGGAGTCCACCTGTGGTAAATTCAATTGATTGGACATGATTTGGAAAGGCACACACCTGTCTATATAAGGTCCCACAGTTGACAGTGCATGTTAGAGCAAAAACCAAGCCATGAGGTTGAAGGAATTGTCCGTAGAGCTCCGAGACAGGATTGTGTCGAGGCACAGATCTGGGGAAGGCTACCAAAAAAATTATGCAGCATTGAAGGTTCCCAAGAACACAGTGGCCTCCATCATTCTTAAATGGAAGAAGTTTGGAACCACCAAGACTTTTCCAAGAGCTGGCCGGCCCGGCTAAACTGAGCAATCGGGGGAGAAGGGCCTTGGTCAGGGAGGTGACCAAGAACCCGATGGTCACTGACAGAGCTGCAGAGTTCCTCTGTGGAGACAGGAGAACCTTCCAGAAGGACAACCATCTCTGCAGCACTCCACCAATCAGGCCTTCATGATACAATGGCCAGACGGAAGCCACTCCTCAGTGAAAGGCACCTCACAGCCCGCTTAGAGTTTGCCAAAAGGCACCTAAATGACTCTCAGACAATGAGAAACAAGATTTTCTGGTCTGATGAAACCAAGATTGAACTCTTTGGCCTGAGTGCCAAGCTCCACGTCTGGAGGAAACATGGCACCATCCCTACGGTGAAGCATGGTGGTGGCAGCATCATGCTGTGGGGATGTTTCGCAGCGGCAGGGACTGGGAGACTAGTCAGGATCGAGGTAAAGCTGAACGGAGCATAGTATAGATGAAAACCTGCTCCAGTGCGCTCAGGACCTCAGACTGGTTCGAAGGTTCACCTTCCAACAGGACAGCAACCTTAAGTACACAGCCAAGACAACACAGGAGTGGCTTCGGGACAAGTCTCTGAATGTCCTTGAGTGGCCCAGCCAGAGCCCAGACTTGAACCCGATCGAACATCTCTGGAGAGACCTGAAAATAGCTGTGCAGCGACGCTGCCCATCCAACCTGACAGAGCTTGAGAGGATCTGCAGAGAAGAATGGGAGAAACGCCCCAAATACAGGTGTGCCAAGTTTGTAGCGTCAAATCCAATTAGACTCGAGGCTGTAATCATTGCCAAAGGTGCTTCAACAAAGAGTAAAGGGTCTGAATACTTATGTAAATGTAATATTTCAGTATCTTTTATTTTTAATACATTTGCAAATGTCTAAAAACCTGTTTTTGCTTTGTCATTATGGGGTATTGTGTGTAGATTGATGAGGGACAAAAATGATTTCATCCATTTTAGAATAAAGCTGTAACGTAACAATGTGGGAAAAGTCAAGGGGTCTGAATACTTTGAATGCACTGTATGTGTGTGTTTTTGTGTCTCAGTGCGTGTATGTACACGTGTATATCCATGTGTACTCGTGTGTGAATTCATTGCTTACTGTCCCGCAGTAGCCCGTCCTGTTGCTTCCAGTCGAGCTCGAAGCTGTAGAAACAGATGAGGTACTCCAGGTCCATCAGAACCACCCCTAGAGAGTTGAGCTGGTCAGCCAGCCAGAAGTCTGCAAACTCTACCCTGTGGAACGGGGCTGTCACCACACGGAACTGGAGGAGAGGGAGGGATGGATATGGGGAAACGTAGCGAGGGGGGGAGACAAGAGAGAGGGAGAGAGGGAAATAGACCGAAAGGGAAACAGAGAGAGAGAAATAGAGAGAGAGTGAGACAAAGAGGGGAAAAGAGAGATAACTATATATTACTGATTAGGATACAGAATACAGCATTTGGCAACATCATGATGCCAGGCACATGTTCAGACATGTTCAGCAGCTTTCTGAGCGTCTCACTAGCAGTTTGAGGAGCCAGAAGCGTGACTTGTAGTAGAGGGTCTTGAAGGGGTTGATGAGGAAGAGGAAGAAGAAGCCGTAGAGGACCAGGGGGTTGGCCTGCATGGGCACCAGGATGGACTTGGAGAACAGACAGGACAGGATGCTCACACACCACAGCACCCCCAGGAAACCAGCAATCTATGTGGAGGTGAGGAGAGAGAGAGAGGTTCACTTGTGTTGTAATTTGATTGCATTTTCAATCGATTACTGTGTCATTACGTTCTACTGCTTATTGCTTTGGCAACAGTTGATTGCTAATTTCATACCAATAAAGGGAGAGTGAGAGAGAGAGATGGGGGGGGAGAGAGAGAGAGAGAGAGAGATGGGGGAGACCGAGAGAGAGAGAGAGCAAGAGAGATAAAGGGAGAGAGAGAGACAGAAAGAGAGAGATAAGGAGAGAGAGAGAGAGAGAGAATTCAAGCAAATGACTTGATACTAATGTGAAAAGCTTGATTCAGTAACAATAAATGTGAACACAAAAAGACACATAGGTACAAGTAATAACCAGAGCTGTATGAATAAAACACAATCAGTATCCAATCAGGCCCAAACTCCTACCTCAAAGAGGTGCTGGTGGGAGAGGTTGTTGCGGGGGTTGAGCTCGAAGATAAGCACGTGGTTGACCCCCGCCTGGCGCCAGCCATACGTGTTGATGCCCAACAGGAAGAGGAACTCGATCAGCAGGAAGCCGCCGCGGTAGATCCTCACCAGCGGCCACACGTTGGCATTCTCTATCACAACCGCAGCTAGAGGGCAAGACGGTTAATAACACATTCATAACGTATTAATAACACAATAATGGCACATTTCTGTCAATAACTGAGCTATCAAATCCTGAACTAGAGGACTAGGGCCTGTATGAAAGAATGATGGACGGAGAAACTCTCACTATGGAGCTAATCTTTTCACATGGTAAAGCGCTTCACACCACCATGGTTTAAAACCTGTGTTACAGCCTCAGTAGCAGAGGGGAGGAGGATAATAGGGGAAAAGCAGGGAAGACAGGCATACCTGTGATGACGACAGTGACCATGAGGACGAGGAAGACTCCACAGTACAAGCCGACCCTAAAGGTGGTCCACGCCGGAGCAGGCTGTGCAGCACCCAGTGGGGGCACTCGTAGCCTCTTCATGGCTCGCTGTCTGTCTCCTCCCTCCAACTCTTGTGTTACCAGGGCCTGAGAGAGAGAGAGAGAGAGAGAGAGAGCAAGAGCGAGAACTTTAACACTGTATATAGACATAATATGACACTTGAAATGTCTTTATTATTTTGGAACTTCTGAGTGTAATGTTTACTGATAATCTTTTATTGTTTATTTCACTTCTGTTTATTATCTATTTCACTTGCTTTGGCAATGTAAACATATGTTTCCCATGCCAATAAAGCCACTTAAATTGAAATTGAAATGAGACAGAGAGAGTGAGAGAGTCACAGCTAAAAGACAAAAACTGAAATGATTATAGTACATTGCTACGAGCCAATACTTCTCATTGATAAGAGGGGGAAAAAAATGTCTGTCAAGTCCAGTACCTCAGTCTCAGAGATGAGCTGGGTGATCTTCTTGCAGGTGTAGAAGGGGGCGACCTCCACGTGGGCCACACGCCAGTCGGCCCCCCGCGATGTCTCCAGGATCTTATCATGCTTCTTCAGGATTTTACGGAAACCTGTGAAGTTCAGATTCTGGGGAGAGGAGAGGAGAATGGTTATAAGTAGGAGTCTCTCTGATAATTTTTTCGGATCCCTCAGATACATTTTTTGGACCATCAGTAGGGTTCTCCCAGATTCTTTTATTGTACAGATATGACAATGGTATATCAGACCGTATAGCACGGGTATGACAACAAAATACTTTTTACTGTTCTAATTACGTTGGTAACCAGTTTATAATAGCAATAAGGCACCTCAGGGGGTTTGTGGTATATGGCCAATATACCACGGCTAATGGCTGTGTCCAGGCACTAATGGCTGTGTCCAGGCACTCACACTATTGCTTAAATAAGCCACATCACTCAGGATTTTGTGGCAGGGCAGGCAATTTGTTGATTCTTAATGTTTAGTTGTAGAACTATTTATCAGTTTTTAATTTAGGATATAAATGATTTATTTTAACATAATTGGTTAAAAAATACACAGGTCACAAAATTGAAATTAAGCAATATACCCCATTACTAGTAATAGATTTCTTGTTTTAGAAACATTAGAAAGAATGCTTATAATTTTTGGGGTGATTTTTGGTGTAATAACGGCAATAAAAAAACAAATGCCTGGTAAAAAAACTGAGTGGCTAGTAGATTTTTTTCATCTACCTGCCACAGTGGTTGGTGGACCAAAAAGTTCATTTCCCACCCTGGTAGTGTCTACTAACTTCATAATTCTGCAGCAGGATGAGGCTGAGGTAGTGTCTAGTGATAGTGTTTAGGGCACAGGACTTTGGTGGCACCTTAATTGAGGAGGACAGACTCATAGTAATGGCTGGAACGGAATAAATGGAATGGTATCAAACACATGGTTTCCATGTGTTTGATACCATTCCATTCACTCCATTCCAGCCATTACTAAGAGTCTCCCCCCCCCCCCCAGCAGCCTCCTGTGGTCTAGGGGTAGTGTATAGGGGGTAGTATCTAGGGTTTAGGGTACTAACCTGGTAGTTCTGTAGCAGGATGAGGCTGAGGTAGAACTCGGAGAAGGCCAGCTGCAGGTCCTTGATGTTGCGGTGTTTGCAGCGCTCCTGCTGGGACAGGTGGAAGACGGCCTTGCGGCGGCGACGAAGGCCTTGCATGCTGCTCTCCCGCTGGGCGTCCAGCGACGACTGCAGCTCATTCTGGAGAGTGGCGAAACGACGCTGGGCCTCTGCTAGCTTTTCTGGAGAGGGGGAGAGAGGAGAGGGGGAGAAAAGAGGGGGAGAGAAGAGAAGGAGAGAGAAGGAGGAAGGGTCATGGGAAGAAGGATCATGGGTAGGAGAGAGAGGGAGATTAAGTAAGAGAGCGAGGCAGCCTGATTCTGTCTCTGTTGCCTAACTATTGGTTTCTGGCAGGGAGATTCACTCCCTAAGGGTTTAAATGTTTGTCTTCTGAACAGATGGGCCTTTAGTGGCCTAGCCAGTGGTGGACAGTGGAGGAGCGTGTGACTGTTTGCTAATCACGCATTGTGAATGTGCTGTAGTTTTTTTGTACAATCATAGAAATAGGCTAGCTAAGTAGAGACACACGGTGGTTTGGTTATATCAGGTGCATGTATTCCAGCAACAGAAATGACAACACATTGTTGTACACAGTTGTACAGTTACCTGAGTAGAATGTGTTGATTTTGGCCAGCTCCTTCTCGCACGCCTGAAAGAACTTCTCCTCAAACTTGGCGTAGTATCTCTTGACTGTGTCTTCGTCTGTGACTGGAAAGAACGAGGTAAAACGAGGTGTTAATAAAAGACAGGAGAAGAGAGGAAGAACAAGAAAAACTAGGTCTTATAAATCTGACGTATTTTCAAGGGGTTTGCAAATGTCTTTGAGACCTTGCTATTTTTGCTACTTGTGATATCCCATTCATTTCACATTTGATGTATTCCAACACTGGCACCCCTGATTTAAATATCTAGTCAACTAAATACGCAAGCCCTTGTTTAGCGGGAATCCATCAAACATGTTTAAAATGACTGAATCCCTAAGACTGTGTTGAGACAGGCTGTCTTAAGAGATGATGTGGTAAGTTATTTAGAGACTCAGCAGTGAGCAAGGCTTCTGTACATACATGACACAGTCATTACTTAACCTCTCTGGGCTTATTCAGCACATTCAGGTGGCATGACATTGTGAAGAAAATATATAATGCACAATGTGTCCCAGACCAGCACTAAAACACAGATTATCCTAATCAGAGTCTTGTGGATTAGTTGAATTGGGTGTCTAAAAAGAGTGATGCACGTGAGACCAAACCCTGCACACATTGCGGCTCTCTAGGAACACTGGTCTAAAATAATTGAAATTAAGTACATTATGTGCCTCGATACACTGCTACCTCACTCCTGTAATACCCCAGGGGGCCAACAGGCGGAGCCATTGCAGAGAGGGCAGCAGCTCGCAGGTTTTTTCCAAGTAATTCCCAGTGTAACAGTAGTAGGTTAACTTACTGTAGGGCTATGGGTAGTCCAGACAGGTACCTCTGACTCAGTGTCTGAGGACTATCTGTGAGTCAGAACAGCCAGACTCTGTGGTCTGGAAAAAACAAGGTGGGTGTCTGAGATAATTCAAGGAGTCTACCTTCCACTTACCCCTTACAAGCTCATGTATGTTTTATCTGGTGCATTTGTGCTGGGATAGAAAAAAAGCAGGCACATACTGTGGCCCCAGCAGGACTGGAGTTGTGGAGAATGCTGTCCCCTGTACAGTGCATTCGGAAATTATTCAGAACCCTTGGCATTTTCCACATTTTGTTACGTTACAGCCTTATTCTAAAATGTATTAAAATGTTTTTTCCCCCTCATCAATCTACACACAATACCCCACAATGACATAGGAAAATCAGGATTTTTGAAATTTCTGAAAATGTATTAAAAATAAAAAAACTGAAATATCACATTTATATGTAGTACCAGTCAAACGTTTGGACACACCTACTCATTCAAGGGTTTTTCTTTATTTTAACTATTTTCTACATTGTATAATAATAGTGGAGACATCAAAACGATGGAATAACATATGGAATCATGTACTAACCCTTTAAAAAACCAAAACATTTAAAATATATTTTCGATTTGAGATTCTCAAAGTAGCCACCCTTTGCCTTGATGACAGCTTTGCACACTCTTGGCATTCTCTCAACCAGCTTCATGAGGTAGTCACCTGGAATGCGTTTCAATTAACAGGTGTGCCTTGTTAAAAGTTAATTTGTGGAATTTATTTTCTTCTGAATGTGTTTGAGCCAATCAGTTGTGTTGTGACAAAGTAGGGGTGGTATACAGGAGATAGCCCTATTTGGTGAAATACCAAGTCCATATTATGGCAAGAACAGCTCAAATAAGCAAAAAGAAACAACAGTCCATCATTACTTTAAGCCATGAAGGTCAGTCAATACGGAACTTTTCAAGAACTTTGAAAGTTTCTTCAAGTGCAGTCGCAAAAACCATGAAGCGCTATGGTGAAACCGACTATCATGAGGACCACCACCGGAATGGAAGACAAAGTTACCTCTGCTGCAGAGGATAAGTTCATTAGAGTTAACTGCACCTCAGATTGCAATCCAAATTAATGCTTCACAGAGTTCAAGAAACAGACACATCTCAACATCAAATGTTCAGGGGAGACTGCGTGAATCAGGCCTTCAAGGCCGAATTTCTGCAAAGAAAAATCTGTCCTTTGGTCTGATGAGTCCCAACCGCAGTGTCTTTGTGAGACACAGAGTAGGTGAACAGATGATCTCCGATTGTGTGGTTCCCACCATGAAGCATGGAGGAGGTGGAGTGATGGTGCTTTGCTGGTGACACTGTCTGTGATTTATTTAGAATTCAAGGAACACTTAACCAGAATGGCTACCAAAGCAATCTGCACCGATACGCCATCCCATCTGGTTTATGCTTAGTGGGACTATCATTTGTTTTTCAACAGGACAATGACCCAACACACCTCCAGGCTGTGTAAGGGCTATTTGACCAAGAAGGAAAGTGATGGGAGTGCTGCATCTGATGACCTGGCCTCCACAATCACCCGACCTCAACCCAATTGAGATGGTTTGGAATGAGTTGGACCGCAGAGTGAATGAAAAGCAGCCAACAAGTGCTCCGTATATGTGGCAACTCCTTCAAGACCGTTGAAAAAGCATTCCTCATGAAGCTGGTTGAGAGAATGCCAAGGGTGTGCAAAGCTGTCATCAAGGCAAAGGGTGGCTACTTTGAAGAATCTAAAATCTAAAATATATTTTGATTTGTTTAACACTTTTTTGGTTACTACATAATTCCATATGTGTTATTTCATAGTTTTGATGTCTTCACTATTATTCTACAATGTAGAAAATAGTCAAAATAAAGAAAAACCCTTGAATGAGTAGGTTTGTCCAAACTTTTGACTGGTACTGAATGTGTGTGTGTATGTGTGTCCTTCCCTCTACAGAGTAGTACTGGTACTGTAAGTATTCAGACCCTTTATTCAGTACTTTGTTAAAGCACCTTTGGCAGCGATTACAGCCTCAAGTCTTCTTGGGCATGACGCTACAAGCTTGGCACACCTGTATTTGGGGAGTTTCTCCCATTCTTCTCTGCAGATCCTCTCAAGCTCTGTGAGCTATTTTCAGGTCTCTCCAGAGATGTTTGATTGGGTTCAAGTCCGGGCTCTGGCTGGGCCACTCTAGGACATTCAGAGACTTGTCCCTAAGCCACTCCTGCGTTGTCTTGGCTGTGTGCTTAGGGTCGTTGTCCTGTTGGAAGGTGAACCTTCGCCCCAGTCTGAGGTCCTGAGCGCTCTGGAGCAGGTTTTCATCAAGGATCTCTCTGTACTTTGCTCCGTTCATCTTTCCCTCGATCCTGACTAGTCTCCCAGTCCCTGCCGCTGAAAAACATCCCCACAGCATGATGCTGCCACCACGTTTCACCGTAGGCATGGTGCCAGGTTTCCTCCAGACGTGACATTTGGCATTCAGGCCAAAGAGTTCAATCTTGCTTTCATCAGACCAGAAAATCTAGTTTCTCATGGTCAGAGTCATTTAGGTGCCTTTTGGCAAACTCCAAGTGGGCTCTCATGGGCCTTTTACTGAGGACTGGTTTCAGTCTGGCCACTCTACCATAAAGGCCTGATTGTGGAGTGCTGCAGAGATGGTTGTCCTTCTGGAAGGTTCTCCCTTCTCCACAGAGGAACTCTGGACCTCTGTCAGAGTGACCAGCGGGTTCTTGGTCACCTCCCTGATAAAGGCCTTCTCCCCCGATTGCTCATTTTGGATGAGTTTGGTTTCAAACTTCTTCCATTTAAGAATGATGGAGGCCACTGTTCTTGGAGACCTTTAATGCTGCAGAAATGTTTTAGTACCCTTCCCCAGATCTGTGCCTTGACACAATCCTGTCTTGGAGCTATGGACAATTCCTTCAACCTCATGGCTTGGTTTTTGCTCTGACATGCACGGTCAACTGTGGGACCTTATATAGACAGGTGTGTGCCTTTACAAATCATGTCCAATCAATTGGATTTACCACAGGTGGACTCCCATCAAGTTGTAGAAACATCTCAAGGATGATCAATGGAACAGGATGCACCCGAGCTCAATTTCGAGTCTCATAGCAAAGGGTCTGAATACTTATGTAAATAAGGTATTTCTGTTTTTTATTTGTTATAAATTTGCAAAAAGAGCCCGGACTTGAACCTGATCGAACATCTCTCGAGAGACCTGAAAATAGCTGTGCAGCGATGTTCCCAATCCAACCTGAAAGAGCTTGAGAGGATCTGCAGAGAAGAATGGGAGAAACTCCCCAAATACAGGTGTGCCAAGCTTGTAGCGTCATACCCAAGACTCCAGGCTGTAATCGCTGCTAAAGGTGCTTCAACAAAGTACTGAGTTAAGGGTCTGAATACTTATGTAAATGTGATAATTCAAACCTGTTAACAAACCTGTTTTTGCTTTGTCATTATGGGGTATTGTGTGTAGATTGATGAGGGGAAAAAAACATTTAATCAATTTTAGAATAAGGCTGTAACGTAACAAAATGTGTAAAAAGTCAAGGGGTCTGAATACTTTCCAAATGCACTGTATTAAAGGAATAATCCACTTAAAAACAATATTTGGGTATTTCTTTCATTAGTCCACTGTTGATACAGTCCCACATTTTTTTGCATGTCAACAATCAAGCTTTCAAGATATAGGACTTTCAAAAAGCAAATTGTAACTTGCCACATCTTTTTTAAATTTTAACTTTATTTAACTAGGCAAGTCAGTTAAGAACAAATTCTTATTTACAATGACGGCCTACACCGGCCAAACCTGGACGACGCTGGGCCAATTGTGCGCCGCCCTATGGGACTCCCAATCACTGCCAGTTGTGATAGAGCCTGGAATCGAACCAGGGGGTCTGTAGTGACGCCTCAAGCACTGAGATGCAGTGCCTTAGACCGCTGCGCCACTCGGGAGCATCATCATGACACTGTTTCTATGATAACTCCAGATGTATTCCTGTATCAGTTTCGAAACTATTGCACACAATCCCATGTAGGACCAAAGATGCTGAACTTATGGCAGTAACTTTACAAGCACTAATTATGGTCAATTTAGACTGAGAATAGTATCTGGTTATGGTAAGGGGTGAAATAAGTATAGCCAGTTATAATTGTAACGGTTTAGCAGATTATAAAAAAGAAGATCAGTCTTTACGTGGCTAAAGGAACATAACATATATTGTTTACAGGAAACTCACTCTACATCCTTAGATGAAGTTGCGTGGAAAAAGGAATGGGGTGGTGAAATGCACGGGGACCTTGCGGGCGCTGCAGGATTTCAGTCCTTCACGGCGTAGTGTGTTACCAATTGTTTTCTTGGTGACTATGGTCCCAGCTGCCTTGAGATCATTGACAAGATCCTCCCGTGTAGTTCTGGGCTGATTCCTCACCGTTCTCATGATCATTGCAACTCCACGAGGTGTGAACTTGCATGGAGCCCCAGGCCGAGGGAGATTGACAGGTCTTTTGTGTTTCTTCCATTTGCGAATAATCGCACCAACTTTTGTCACCTTCTCACCAAGCTGCTTGGCGATGGTCTTGTAGCCCATTCCAGCCTTGTGTAGGTCTACAATCTTGTCCCTGACATCCTTGGAGAGCTCTTTGGTCTTGGCCATGGTGGAGAGTTTGGAATCTGATTGATTGATTGCTTCTGTGGACAGGTGTCTTTTATACAGGTAACAAACTGAGATTAGGAGCACTCCCTTTAAGAGTGTGCTCCTAATCTCAGCTCGTTACCTGTATAAAAGACACCTGGGAGCCAGAAATCTTTCTGATTGAGAGGGGGTCAAATACTTATTTCCCTCATTAAAATGCAAATCAATTTATAACATTTTTGACATGCGTTTTTCTGGATTTTGTTGTTGTTATTCTGTCTCTCACTGTACAAATAAACCTACCATTAAAATTATAGACTGACCATTTCTTTGTCAGTGGGCAAACGTACAAAATCAGCAGGGGATCAAATACTTTTTTCCCTCACTGTACATGGAGGAGACTTAATCAAGCTAGTCGTCTTGACTACTTTCTTGTCTCTTGCAACAAAGGTTAAAAAAGTTTTAATAGGAGACAGAATGCAATCGGATAATCATCTAATTGGCCTTCACATAACTCTTATAGAATTTCCACATGGACGGGGATATTGGAAATGTAATCAAAGTTTACTGGAGGACAATTTATTTTTAACTAAGACAAAATAATTTATAACTGAATTTTTCCAGTACAATATAGGTTCAGCAAATCCCCTTATTGTTTGGGATACCTTTAAAATGTACCTTCAGAGGTCATTCAATTCAATATTCATTAATAATAAAAAATAAGTTTCTGGCTAAAGAGACAAGACTAACAAGGGAAATACATGAACTAATAGTATTATTATTATATTATATTATATATTATTATATTATATTACAGGTAGAACGATCTAATGTAATCTATTACAAAAATAAAGCAAACTGGATGGAATATGGAGAAAAATGCACCAAATTCTTCCTGAATCTCCAACACAGGAACGCTAATAAAAATAATTTGCAGAAACTCGTTACTGAAGACGGAGTCATCTATGATTCTCCGAATGATATTTTAAAAGAGGAAGCTAAATATTTTAAGCAGATGTTCTCTTTTCCGTCTCATCCTCACCCACTGAATGACGATTACTGTAAGGAATTCTTTCCAAATAATAAAACAAATGGAAAATTAACAAATGTACAGAAAGATCAGTGCGAAGGCCAAATTACAGAGGAATAACTTTGAGGCTATTAAATCCTTTCAGTGTGGAAAAACCCCAGGGCTTGATGGCATACCGGTAGAGGGATATCAAGCCATTTTTGATATACTCAAAGCTCCATTGTTAGATTGTTTTAACTACTCCTATATAAATGGTGGTCTGACAGGTACTCAGCAGGAAGGTCTGATTTCACTATTATTAAAACAAGACCCAGATGGCAAATATAAAGATTCAGTCTATCTTAAAAACTGGAGGCCTCCTTACACTTCAATGTTGTGATGCAAAAATACTAGCGAAAAGCATACAGTGAGGGAAAAAAGTATTTGATCCCCTGCATATTTTGTACGTTTGCCCACTGACAAAGAAATGATCAGTCTATAATTTTAATAGTAGGTTTATTTGAACAGTGAGAGACAGAATAACAACAACAAAATCCAGAAAAACACATGTCAAAAATGTTATACATTTATTTGCATTTTAATAAGGGAAATAAGTATTTGACTCCTCTGCAAAACATGACTTAGTACTTGGTGGCAAAACCCTTGTTGGCAATCACAGAGGTCAGACATTTCTTGTAGTTGGCCACCAGGTTTGCACACATCTCAGGATGGTCCTCTGTAGCTCAGCTGGTAGAGCACGGCGCTTGTAACGCCAAGGTAGTGGGTTCGATCCCCGGGACCACCCATTCACAAAAATGTATGCACGCATGACTGTAAGTCGCTTTGGATAAAAGCGTCTGCTAAATGGCATATTATTATTATTAGGAGGGATTTTGTCCCACTCCTCTTTGCAGATCTTCTCCAAGTCATTAAGGTTTTGAGGCTGACGTTTAGCAACTCGAACCTTCAGCTCCCTCCACAGATTTTCTATGGGATTAAGGTCTGGAGACTGGCTAGGCAACTCCAGGACCTTAATGTGCTTCTTCTTGAGCCACTCCTTTGTTGCCTTGGCCGTGTGTTTTGGGTCATTGTCATGCTGGAATACCCATCCACGACCCATTTTCAATGCCCTGGCTGAGGGAAGGAGGTTCTCACCCAAGATTTGACAGTACATGGCCCCGTCCATCGTCCCTTTAATGCAGTGAAGTTGTCCTGTCCCCTTAACAGAAAAACACCCCCAAAACATAATGTTTCCACCTCCATGTTTGACGGTGGGGATAGTGTTCTTGGGGTCATAGGCAGCATTCCTCCTCCTCCAAACACGGCGAGTTGAGTTGATGCCAAAGAGCTCGATGTTGGTCTCATCTGACCACAACACTTTCACCCAGTTCTCCTCTGAATCATTCAGATGTTCATTGGCAAACTTCAGATGGGCATGTATATGTGCTTTCTTGAGCAGGGGGACCTTGTGGGCGCTGCAGGATTTCAGTCCTTCGCGGCGTAGTGTGTTACCAATTGTTTTCTTGGTGACTATGGTCCCAGCTGCCTTGAGATCATTGACAAGATCCTCCCGTGTAGTTCTCGGCCGATTCCTCACCGTTCCCATGATCATTGCAACTCCACGAGGTGAGATCTTGCATGGAGCCCCAGGCCGAGGGAGATTGACAGTTCTTTTGTGTTTCTTCCATTTGCGAATAATCGCACCAACTGTTGTCACCTTCTCACCAAGCTGCTTGGCGGTGGTCTTGTAGCCCATTCCAGCCTTGTGTAGGTCTACAATCTTGTCCCTGACATCCTTGGAGAGCTCTTTGGTCTTGGCCATGGTGGAGAGTTTGGAATCTGATTGATTGATTGCTTCTGTGGACAGGTGTCTTTTATACAGGTAACACAATGAGATTAGGAGCACTCAAAGGGAGTGCTCCTAATCTCAGCTTGTTACCTGTATAAAAGACACCTGGGAGCCAGAAATCTTTCTGATTGAGAGGGGGTCAAATACTTATTTCCCTCATTAAAATGCAAATCAATTTATAACATTTTTGACATGCGTTTTTCTGGATTTTGTTGTTGTTATTCTGTCTCTCACTGTACAAATAAACCTACCATTAAAATTATAGACTGACCATTTCTTTGTCAGTGGGCAAACGTACAAAATCAGCAGGGGATCAAATACTTTTTTCCCTCACTGTAGCACTCAGAATTAATAAGGTTTACCTGGTATTGTTCATCCTGATCAGACAGGTTCTTTACATGGACGATACATTGGAGATAATATACGACAACTACTAGAAATAATAGAACATCATGAAACATCTAAGAAGCCAGGCCCGGTATTTATAGCAGATTTTGAAAAGGCCTTTGATAAAGTAAGACTATATTTTATTTATAAATGCCTGGATTTTTTTCAATTTCGGTGATTCTCTTATAAAAAGGGTAAAAGTAATGTATAGCAACCCCAGATGTAAAATAGTAAATAGTGGCTACTTCTCAGATAGTTTTGAATTGTCAAGAGGAGTTAAACCAGGGTGTCCGCTGTCACCATATCTATTTGTTATGGCCATCGAAATGCTAGCTATTAAAATCAGATCAAATATCAACATTAGAGGATTTGAAATCCAAGGCTTAAAAACAAATGTGTCCATGTATGCTGATGACTCAAGTTTTATATTAAGTCCGCAAGCTAGATCCCTGCAATGTCTCATTGAATATCTAGATAACTTTTCTGGACTCTCTGGACTAAAACCTAATTATGATAAGTGTACAATATTACGTATTGGATCTTTAAAAAATATAATTTTTACATTACCCTGCAGTTTACCGATAAAATTGTCTGACAGTGAAGTAGACATACTTGGTATTCATATCACAAAATATATAAATGAGCTCTCCACAATTAATTTCAATAGAAACTAGTAAAAATAGACAAGATCCTGCAACCATGGAGAGGTAAATACCTGTCTATTTACCGAAAAATTGCCCTGATTAACTCCTTAGTCACATCTCAGTTTACTCACTTACTTATGGTGCTGTAACTCCTGATGATTAGTTTTTCAAATCATATGAGCAAAAAATATTTTGCTTCATCTTTAAAAAAAAAAATATTATATAGAATTCTTGCCACCAACAAAATGTTGAATATTTGGGGCATACAATCATTGAAGCTCTGCAGATTTTGTTGTGAGGATACAGAATCAATAGACCATTTATTTTGGTATTGCCCTCAGGTAGCCTGTTTCTGGTCTCAGGTTCAGGAATGGCTGAAAATGCATAACATTGATCTAAAATTGACCCTAGAAATAGTACTGTTGGAAGATCTGGAGAGACAGGGTCAGTCAATTACTAATACTCTTAGTAAAAGTATTTATCTTCAACTCGCAATTTGTGGATTCTATTCGATTAGATAGATTGAAATTGTATGTTAAACATCACAGCATAGTTGAAAGATATATGGGGCGTAGAAATCCGAAGAGGGTGGCCAGCAAAGATAGGTGGGATGGGCTGAGGGAGGCTGAGGGTTGGGATGTGGAATTGGAGACAAGTGGGAGTGGAGTTGCTGGGTGGGGGATAGAATGACGGTCAAAGATAAGCAAAAAAATAAATAATTCAAAATAAAACATAACAAAAAAGTAAGTAGGCTGGGAGGATCTGGGCATACTGGGCTCTTTATACTGGTCTGGGACTGACTGGGACCAAATCCACAGAATCTCATAATAAGCAAGAGGACAAGGATTCATCATCCTAATAGCCTTGCTTCAGATGAGAAACTCTAGATTTATAACAAAAACGTCCCATCCTGCTTTCTGCAGAATGAGTCTGTCATGAATACATTACACATGCGAGCACTCGTGTGTTCAGACATTACCAGCAAAAGTGAAGATAATCACTGGTCTGCAAAGATTTTTGGACCAAAAATGTTATTTGGAGTCACGCGGCAAGAAAGAAAGAAAGGCCATCGTTAGAGCCTGAAACCACTGGAGGAGGAAGAGAGAATGGGTAGAATGATGGATGGGTGCAGATGGATATTAATAGCCAAATAATACCACTCAGAACGCTCCCTCTGGAACTGTATGCCTGAACAGGATGTTCATCTGTGTTAGTGCCATTGGTAAGTCTCCAAATATCCCTTTACTGGCCTTTCAGACTGTTTTGCAGTGTCTTTCCGTCAGTCAAAAGGTCAAAGAAATGTAATAGGTCTGAATGTAAACATTTTCACAGAGACTCAATAAAGGATCTTGACAAAGTGCTTTTCCCTGACTGTTCTCTAAGCTTTGGTGACGTCTTTAGTCCATTTGGCTTGATTCAAATGGATGAGAAATCTGAAGAGACAAAACAAGTTCAAAGTAGGGAGAAATTATACTTCACATTGATGGTTAATGCCATGATTTTATCATTTTTATTCACATAAATGTATGTGTTATGACTCCAGTTGAAATATACAGTGACACATGCTGACCAAATGAGAGTGGGGACTCTTCAAAGGGGTTGTTGTGAGTCTGCAGATTAAATACAGCTCATTGGATTAAAATAGATGCTATTTTATCTCAGACAGAGGCTGAATCATAGACAAAATTATGACTGTTTTCCTCAAAATGTTCCTTTTCTTTTCTAGGCTGTGACAATACAAGAAAATGCAATTGGACAAGGGGGCAGAAGACATTGCTACAATACTAACAGAATCTTAATATTAGTGAATTGCTATAAACCCCTCAATAGGCAATAGGCTGCCCCTTCTATATACCACTCAATAAAACACTTATCTGGTGTGATGTTGTTTATCAGGTTGAACTCCGGGTTTGATCAAGGTTGTCAACTGCCCCAGGGCATGGTAACAGCACTAGTAATGCATCCCAGCCGTTAGCGTAGTACTGGTTTGACTGAGCGAACCCCTATATAAAACTGGTTTAGGTAACTCTATATAGCTCTATAGAACTGGGTCACTGGGGCCGACTGGGCCCTGAGGAGAGCTGATAAGATTAGAGAGATACGCTGTAACCAATCTATGCACAGCTGGATGACACACTGACAAATCACAGGAGAGCCTGGGTAGTGGGCACACATTGATGTCCTATTTTCTGTTGCTTCGGTTTCCAGATTTTTTCAGCAAAAAATTAGCCTCATGATAATTTCAGTATTTCAACATTTGCCTATTGGGGTAGAGTTGAAGAAAGCAATTCTGTGCCATTTCTCTGCTCACAGAATGGTTTAGAAGAATCTTAAAAACAGTTTTGACATAGTGGGCAGACGATGATGATGGTGGCAGTGAAGTCAGACTTGTGAGAGTGCTGGTAAGGTAAGTGACATCATGACGTCCGTGTGAAAATTAACAGGTGAAACCGACAGGTCTGCAAACATCAGCCGTTTCCAAGGACCATCATTAACTTTTCAATTACATTCAATTTGGCCTAAAATGGCCCTGTGATTATCATCAGTCTGCCATGGCAAATAACAGGTATGGATACCATTGAGGAAGTCGACCAAACCATTCTAACGTTTCTGCAACTACCTCCCCCTAACAAGCAACGTTTGAAATATGTTCTATCCTCTTGTGGCTTTGAGTCAGTCACGCTTATCGCGCACACGCACAGCTACGTAATGGCACAAAAACAGAAGCAGAGATAATCAACACACCCCCACACACATATTCATAAACCACAGACATTCAATTCAGTAATTTACCACACGTGGGTAGGTCGCATCCTCACTCCCGTTCTCTCCGACTCTGAGACACACAAACACATTGACAAACAGCTGCAGAGATCACACCAATCAATGGCGAAGGTGCATGACTTCAGATATCAAGTCATTGTTTAAGCCATAGAGATCCTATTAAATTACTAGAGGGGCTATGTCATAAACCCTCAAAGTTCCAGAATGGGGTGAAAACGGCAGACATATTGGTCAGGGAGAAATCCAAAACAGTCTAATTGGAATGAATGGCAGTAGAGGCATAATCCTGATTTTACTTATGTAAGAAAATAAAAGTAAAGGCATGTGATATATACAAAAGAATTTTTGTCATAATTGTCAGCCTAAAATAGTAATATAATTATAAGTACAGTTTATACAGGTTTTATACACATTTTCTGTATAAATAGCCTCTAAAATATATGTAAACACACCATAAATGTCAGTTTTTGTTTTCTTGGAAAGCTGAGTGCTATTATATGATACAATATCAGTACTTGTTACATTTACAAACTTGTCTAAGTGCTATCATCAACTGACAACAGCCAGTGTATGGCTGTGGACTGACTGCATTTTTGAATGGAATGTTGGCACATCGGTAGTTCATTTGAAAAATGTATGGAATCATTCCCTTAAAACTGGCTGAATAGCTAGCTAACAAACATACAGTGCAGATCAATTCTTCAAATTCATTATTTGACAATATCACAGCACTGGCAAACCATGGTTGAAAAACTCCCTGACCAAAATGGCTAACCTTTATTCCATTATAACAAGGTTTATGTCCATTCTAGTATTCAAATTCTTAATTCTACGGTTTAAGCACCATCCATGGAGTTTTTAAACTACGGCGCGTGACATGGTTCAATCAATGTGCCAATAAATCAGCACAATCTACTTTTGGGGTTTTTCAAATTGCTGGGATAATGGAGCTAAAATTGGGATCATATATAGTGCCATCAGAACGTATTCACACCCCTTGACTTTTTCCACATTTTGTTGTGTTACAGCCTGAATTTAAAATGTATTAAATAGAGATTGCTTTGTCACTGGCCTACACACAATACCCCTAATGTGAAAGTGGAATTATGTTTTTCAAAATCTTTACACATTAATAAACAATTAAAAGCTGAAATGTCTTGAGTCAATAAGTATTCAAACCCTTTGTCATGGGAAGCCTAAATAAGTTCAGGAGTAGAAATGTGCTTAACAAGTCACATAATAAGGTGCATGGACTCTGTGTGCAATAATAGTGTTTAACATGATTTTTGAATGACTACCTCATCTCTGTACCAAACACATACAATTATCTGTAATGTCCCTTAGTCGAGCAATGAATTTCAAATGCAGATTCAACCACAAGGACCAGGGAGGTTTTCCAATGCCTCGCAAAGAAGGGCACCTATTGGTAGAGGAAAAAAAAAAAAAAAAAAAAAAAGCAGACATTGAATATCCTTTGAGCATGGTGAAGTTATTAATTACACTTTGGATGGTGTATCAATACACCCAGTTACTACAAAGATACAGGTGTCCTTCCTACTTAGTTGCGAGAGAGGAAGGAAACCACTCAGGGATTTCACCATGAGGCCAATGGTGACTTTAAAACAGTTACAGAGTTTAATGGCTGTGACAGGACAAAACTGAGGGTGGATCAACAACATTGTAGTTACTCCACAATACTAACCTAAATGACAGAGTGAGAGGCAAATAAATTAACTTTATGCCCTGAATACAAAGCGTTATGTTTGGGCCAATCCAACACATCACTGAGTACCACTCTTCATATTTTCAAGCACGGTGGTGGCTGCATCATGTTATGGGTATGCTTGTCATCGGCAAGGACTAGGGAGTTTATTTTAGGATAAAAAGAAACAATAGAGCTAAGCACAGACAAAATCCTAGAGAAAAACCTGGTTCAGTCTGCTTTCCAACAGACACTGGGAGACAAATGCACCTTTCAGCAGGAACATAACCTAAAACACAAGGCCAAATATACACTGGAGTTGCTTACCAAGACAACATTGAATGTTCCTGAGTGGCCTAGTTACAGTTTTTACATAAATCTGCTTGGAAATCTATGGCAAGACTTGAAAATGGCTCTCTAGCAATGATCAACAACCAACTTGACAGACCTAGAATAAACAACTAGAGCACACGTTGTAATCAAAATTCTAATCTTAATTGGCGCATTTCAAACTGTCCTTTTGTGAGGCGCAGCCGGGAACTAGTTCTGTACGATGGCATGTGGTGGGGTCGATACACCAGAATTGGAGGATCCTCCATCATCGTTTAAATCTCCGGTTTGGGAACATTTTGGCAATGGGCAGAGAGTTGTGGATAAAACGTTAACAGTATGTCGCCACTCTCAATGAGAATAGCCTATGCAGCTGCCAACACCTCAAATATGATGACACATTTACGCCGACATCACCCCAGTTTACTGGAGCAAGATGGAAACGCAAAGAAACAAACACAACATTGTCTCCTCTCTGCATTCAAGCAGCCCTTGGCAGCTGATTCTGACCGGCCAAAGAAATTACAAGAGCGATAGGTAGGCAATTTTGTTTATATTTTTTACAGTCTTTGGTTTATAGCCGTGGATTTGCGCCCATTCTCGGTAGTTGAGAATATGGAGTTTCAGAACCTTGTGAAAGTGCTTGAGCCACCTTACGAACTTCCCTCTTGCACCCATTTCAGCAAACATGTAGTACCCGTTCTATATAAGCAAACCAAAGCTGACGTTTTCAAAGAATTAGCCAATGCAACGTGTTGCAGTTACTTAAAAGGCCCAGTGCAGTGAAATTTCAGCCTGTTTTGGTGGGATGGCGTTTTGGCCTGCCTGGTGACAAATTAGTTAATAGACCAATAAGAAAGAGAGTTCCAAACCTCTCGGCCAAAAACAGCTAGTTTTCAGTTTTCCTCTCCCCACTCAGACCACTCCCAGAGAGTCCTAGCAAAATTCTTGCTTGAGTAATTGCACTTTGCTAAGAAGCCATTTTTGTTTCTTTTTGACCATTTTGATTGAAAACACTCACAGTAAGGTACATAATGAAATTGAGATAAAAACGGCTGCATTGGACCTTTAACAGTGACAGCCCATCACATTACCCCCAAGCGGAAGATGTACCGAGCTACAGACACGCCCCCGTTATGAGTCACAAGTGCGCATCTGGCACTGAAGGTGGCAGTGTCATGGTGTGTTCGTAACCAAGTAGGAAGTGGGAATTCACCACATGACTCGGAAAAATCCACTTGAACGGCCCTCAAACTGGTAATTACTAGTGGGAAACGTATCTATCATCCTGAGCAAGGAAATGGCCTCTATAACAACATTTTCAGCAGTTAAATGGAACAAAACATTATTTATAAAAAGCAACCTATTAATGTGGTTTTTGAACTCTATAATTTGTTTACAAGCATGATAGCTGCAAATAGCCAATCGGCATTTCTTAACTGGTATTTATGACTTCACAACTGGTAAATTCCCACCTCCCACAGCATCAGAGTGGAAACGTAAAAGGTCCAACATAACAATCTGGTCAAAACAGACAATGTAAGGAACATTGTGAATGGCATTTAACTTTCCTTCTGTACTGAAACCGAACCTTGACCCCAAAACCGCAAATACGTACCGAACCGTTGGTTTGGTAAACCATTACACTGCTAGAATAATTATGCCTTTAATTAATCTATCTATGGTGCATCAAAGCAACTTAAACAAGGATAATTGCACGTGTGAGCTAGGAAAAGGTAGGCCTACTGAACAAAGAGCTAAGGGTATTAACAAAAAACAATAAACACTTGGTTGGGAGTATGTGTTTCACTGTGTGCTGACTGCGGCATCTTCTTGGTTATATAACACCGGTTGGTTACAACATTGTTGTTATTTTAAACACACTGGGAGCACAACAGTGTCCGTAGACTGTTTTGCTGATGCACTGATGAGTTGACTTCCAACTCTGGCAACACTCCAGGCCTAGTGTCCAATGTCCAGCCATAGCAACAACACACACAGACTCAGAGATAGGCTAGCTCTGTTTATTGCAAGTCCTATCAATGATAGTGCTGGTTGAACTATGACCTCAGATGACCACAGGAATCTGTGTTTGTTTTTACTCATTAGATAAACTGCCTCCTATTGGGAATTTTCTACAAAGTATACTTAAACTACATGTACTAGTGCCCCTCAGTGAGTTTAAAACTCTGGTACAAAACTCTGTTCAGGAGTAGTGTAAATGTTTCCTGTAGGCTGGATTGTATTGTTATGCTGATTGAATTAATTAAATGTTGTAATGTTGTATTGATTGCTGCTGCCTTCTTGGCCAGGTCTCCCTTACAAAAGAGACTGTCTCAATGGGCTTTGTATGGTTAAATAAAAATAAACACAGAGGGATATTATTAGAGCCCGACCGATAAATCGGTTGACCGATATTAAAATCTGCCGATATTAGCCTTTCACAGAAATATTTGTATCGGTCTTTATTCCACCGATAAAACACAGATATTATATACATAGGATGAACAAACACGTGTGCTCATTTGCGGCCATTTTTAGAATCTTTCAATGGTTGCCTGAAGAGGGCGCTCTATTTTGTATAATATTCTACTGTATCTTAGTCCATGCCACTCTGTCATTGCTCGTCAATGTATGTACACTACCGTTCAAAAGTTTGGGGTCACTTAGAAATGTCCTTCTTTTCGAAAGAAAAGCAATTATTGGGTCCATTAAAATAACATAAAATTGATCAGAAAAACAGTGTAGACATTGTTAATGTTGTAAATGGCTATTGTAGCTGGAAACGGCTGATTTTTTTATGGAATATCTACATAGGCGTACAGAGGCCCATTATCAGCAACCATCAGTCCTGTGTTCCAATGGCACATTGTGTTTGCTAATCCAAGTTTATCGTTTTAAAAGGTTAATTGATCATTAGAAAACCCTTTTGCAATTATGTTAGCACAGCTGAAAAGTGTTGTGCTGATTAAAGAAGCAATACAATTGGCTTTCTTGAGACTAGTTGAGTATCTGGAGCATCAGCAATTGTAGGTTTGATTACAGGATCAAAATGGCCAGAAACAAATAACTTTCTTCTGAAACTCGTCAGTCTACTCTTGTTCTGAGAAATGAAGGCTATTCCATGCGAGAAATTGCCAATAAACTGAAGATCTCGTACAACACTCTGTACTACTTCCTTCATAGAACAGCGCAAACTGGCTCTAACCAGAATAGAAAGAGGAGTAGGAGGCCCCGGTGCACAACTGAGCAAGAGGACAAATACATTAGAGTGTCTAGTTTGAGAAACAGACGCCTCACAGGTCCTCAACTGGCAGCTTCATTAAATAGTACCCGCAAAACACCAGTCTCAACGTCAACAGTGAAGAGGCGACTCCGGCATGCTGACCTTCTAAGCAGAATTGCAAAGAAAAAGCCATATCTCAGACTGGCCAATAAAAAGAAAAGATTAAGATGGGCAAAAGAACACAGACACTGGACAGAGGAAGATTGGAAAAAAGTGTTATGGACAGACGAATCGAAGTTTGAGGTGTTCGGATCACAAAGAAGAACATTTGTGAGACAGACCAAATGAAAAGATGCTGGAGGAGTGCTTGATGCCATCTGTCAAGCATGGTGGAGGCAATGTGATGGTCTGGGGGTGCTTTGGTGGTGGTAAAGTGGGAGATTTGTACAGGGTAAAAGGGATCTTGAAGAAGGAAGGCTATCACTCCATTTTGCAACGCCATGCCATACCCTGTGGACGGCGCTTGATTGGAGCCAATTTCCTCCTACAACAGGACAATGACCCAAAGCACAGCTCCAAACTATGCAATAACTATTTAGGGAAGAAGCAGTCAGTCAGTTCATTTTCGTAATGAACAGCTAGCGTGTGCTTGTCATAACAACAGACAGTACATTATGCGATAACAAGCCAAAGATAGAGAAAAGACGAGATAGGAATCCCATTGGGCAATGAATGGAGGACCGTATACCGCCCCACACAGCAGACTGTCGACCAATTGCATTCATGTTGTCATGCTGTGGTCCTCTGTAGCTCAGCTGGTAGAGCACGGCGCTTGTAACGCCAAGGTAGTGGGTTCGATCCCCGGGACCACCCATACACAAAGAATGTATGCACGCATGACTGTAAGTAGCTTTGGATAAAAGCGTCTGCTAAATGGCATATTATATTTTTTTTATATTATGCTGCCTCACACGGTTGCTAAGCTAATCATCACGCAATCCCTTCTCAAAGTCAGGGTATGAGTCAAGAAACCTGCATATTTTCCTCGAAAGTACGTAACGTCGCAATTTCAAAGCTATACAATATTACATAGAACAAGTTAATTAACTCACATCTCTGAAAATATTTGTAATGTTGTACTTCTTGTTGACGAAATTCGTGCTAATGTTGGGTTTGAGCTAGCGCCCAATTGACTCCCATATACTCCTTGAAGGAGAGCTCACCTTGTCCCAGAATCGCCCAGCGCAGTCCATTGACAACGCATGGGAAACATACACAATGGCCGTTGATACGATTCCAATAGAGTTCCCCCATCTCCTCAAAAGTATCTCTGAACAAGCTCTCATTGCAAGGTTGCCATAAAGTGTTTCTTTCCATGACCTTTGACTTTTTTGTAAAGCACTGTAGTGAATCTACTAAGTGGTGACATTATGAACTGCATGTTACAGGATTCCACTGCATAGTTTGTGACCTTGTGAACAGTGCAGTTTCAGATTTACTTTGAGACAAAGTTGAATTCATTCAGCCCTTCTTGTTTATTAGTGCGCTTGTGGTGCTTCAGCACAAACACTTCTGCCTTCTTATCCACTGCCATAGACAGACACATCTTTAGGTTGTACCTAAGAAGGTAAACTGAAAGAGTGTTATATTTACTTTTGTATTTATAGAGGATATATAGTTGCTTTTTGGTGGTTATGTAAAGGACAAATACAATTTTCTTAAATAATGTAAATGTTTTATATTTAGTTAAGAAATCATAATTTAGAGTATCTGTTCATCCTTTGGAGAACAATTTGTGGAAAAAAAAACATGTATCGGCAGATATCTCGGTAACTTTTGCCTCCCTAAAATCAGTATCGGACCCAAAGATCCCATATCGGTCGGGCTCTAGATATTTATCACACACACACACACACACACACACTTCAAAAACACTTTAAACACTATTTGAAATCTTTCAAATACTTTGAGTGTTTGCTTTTGCCTGCCTGGAGTGCCAGGTAGGTGGCTAAAGTATTTGAAATGTTTTCAAATTGTATTTGAACCCAGGTCAGACACAGAGAGAGACATACACAGGTTTGATAGTAAACCCTTTCTATCTTTTGAGAGAAGCTACCCTGTACAATCCTCCACCTACATGTCTGCTCGAGATCCTTCCAGCTTTGACTAGCCTAACACCCATGTCTAACTTCAGGCTCATCTGAGGGTTGACACCCTAATGAGTGTAGCTACACTATACAATCCTCCACCTACATGTCTATACTGCAGTTCCCACCAGCTTTGACTGTGTTACTGACTTCAGGCTCCTATAAAGGTGTTGACAGATGAGTGGAACAGAGTAGCCTCTGTGGCTGGTCAAACATAACAAGTTTGATTAAGTCTCCAAATACACAATGCCATGCAGAGACACCACAGGGAACTCTTAACAAAGGGACACGACGCGTTTCACTGAGAATCACGCTGTAGAAACGGATTAGCCGTCCAATAAACTGAAAGCAGCTATGATGACGCCAGCGACAGTAGAAAAAGGCCTGAGCAAAGCATTGTCATTCTCCTGGCTGTTAGACCAAAGACTGATGGACAGAAGCTTCATTTAGAGGGAGGGGTATTTGAGAGATGAAATATGATTATTGTGCATTTCGCTTCCTGTCCCTGGTTCAACACTCTTTTCCTCTGCTCTCTCCCTTTCCTTCTCTGGTTTTATTTTTTCTCACTTTGCTCATCTCTCCTAGATGATTTACTTTGTTCTCGCATTGATTTCTGCAGAATTTGTTTGATACTGAAAGGCCAAGGGGGGGGGGGGGGGGGGGTCAGGCCCTAATAGTGTGCAGTATGCACGTACACACACAGCTTATTTTACCTTCGATAGAGGGGGCCTGGTCCTGGGCAGAATACAGCATATCCTTGAACGCCTGCAGAGCAGAGAGAGAAAAACAAGAGAAAGGGATTTTTTTTTTTAAAACATTGCCACTAACCTAACTAATTGGATGACACATTTATAACATGAACTGCAGACATTGTATTATGCTCGACACGACATCACTTATGTTTCGACACTTAGACTCTTTCAATAATGCAGCACTACACCAAGTATTCACACTTTATGTAAGCCTACAGCACAATGTGGTAGAGCAGCACATGATGTAGTGTAGTGTATGACTCATGACACTGCCACTGCTTAAAGGGATAGACTTCCAGTATTTGCGCTAAGCTAGCGCTAATGCTAGCTAGGCTAGGGTTTAAGGTTAGGGGTTAAGGTTATGGTTAGGGGTTAAGGTTAGGTAACATGCTAGCTAAGTAGTTGCAAAGTTACTAATAAGCTAAAATGCTAAAGTCTTCATGATGTGATTCGAACATTCAACGTTTGGGTCGCTAGACCTTCGCATTATACGCTAGGACTGGGAATTGCCAGGGACCTCACGATATATTATCACGATACTTAGGTGGTGATACGATATGCATTGCAATTCTCACGTTTCTATATGTATTGCGATTCAATACTGCGATTTTATAGCGATTCGATGTTCCCAAACATATGGCTCACCATGCCTGCTGCTGAGAGACAAAAAGAGACATGAGAAAAAAAGTTTTGATCAGTCATGGAAATAAAAAAGTGCTAAAAACATGTTGGCTCATCATTTTAAAGGTTATAGAAGGTACATTACTGGGGTTTTGGCGCAGGTACAGACAGCTAGCACAAACATAATATTGCAATATTGTCAAAAATAATATTAGGATACAGTATATTGTCAAAAATAGTATCCCGATATGTAACTATCGATTTCACCCATCACTACTATACATGGCTTCTTGCATTTCTTAATAGGCAAGCTAAAAAGCCAGGCCAAATCAGTGAGTTCAGCCCCTCTTTAACATGGGCACCCAGATTATTCCACCGCTGACTAGCTAAAACAGCTGGGGAATTTCTGCCCAGGAGCAAGCAGGTAAGCAGGCGGCCAGGCAGACACGTTTCATAGTAAACCCTTTCCAACCTATAAGGGAAGCTACACTGTACAATACTCTTTCTGCATGTTGGTATACAGACAGACAGAAGGCCAGACAGGAAACCAGCCAGCCAGAGGAAGCAGCAGATAGTTGAGGGATAAAAGGGGTCATGATTTTTCGGGACTGTGTGCAAATATAACAATAGAGAAGACGGGTGAAAAGGGGGGAAGTGTTCTGTCCTAGCTGTCCTTGGCATCAGGGTGATCAGTCAAGGTTATTCTGGTGCATCAGGGAACCAATCAGACAGAACAGAAGGCGCTTTTTGAGTCTCTAGCCCCCTAACCAGAGAGTCCAGGAAATGGGTAGAGTCAGCAGCTGCTAGCTACTAACAGTTTCTCTACAGCAGGGGTTGACCCCCCAAAGTTTTTAGTAAAAAACAATATATATATAATATTAGGATACAGTATATTGTCAAAAATAGTATCCCGATATGTAACTATCGATTTCACCCATCACTACTATACATGGCTTCTTGCATTAATTATATATATATATATATATATATATATATATATATATATATATATATATATATATATATATATATATATATATATATATATATATATATATATACACACCAGTCAAAAGTTTGGACACACCTACTCATGGACACACCTACTACATGATTCCATATGTGTTATTCCATAGATTTGATGTCTTCACTATTATTCTACAGTGTAAAAAATTGTAAATATAAAGAAAAATCCTTGAATGAGTAGGTGTCCAAACTTTTGACTGGTAGTGTGTATATATATATATTTATTTGAAAGTATGTGAACCCCTTGTGCAATTACAGATTTGTCAGTTTTTACCATGAAATCTTAATTTAATCAGAATCAGTCTTTTTGATCTGACATAACAGGTTTATATTTACCAATACCATATGTTGGTGTAGAGGAAATCTTGCGTGTAGTATTAGTGCAGGTGCAAAAATAAGTGAACCCCAAGTTGCATTGGTTCAATCAAGTAGGTAAGTAGAATCAGGTGGGTAAATAATTAGCTACCAAATGAACCAATCAAAGGAGAGATCGTTAGGAAATAGTTTGGACGGGACTCTGATGAATAGAGATAAGAAACTTGGTCAGTTTGGTGTTACCCATCCAGGTGAATGCAAAGCACACCATGCCAAGAGGAAATGAGATCTCAGAGGACATCAGTCTGGGGAAGGCTATAAAATCATCTCCAAAAGATTTGAGCGTCATCAGTCCACTGTGAGGTAAATAATTTACAAGAGAGCATTTAACATGACAGCAACTCGGCCTAGAAGTGGACGCCCTTCCAAAATATCCCCAAGAGCCACAAGAATAATAATAAATCAGGTAAAAGCCAACCCAAACATAACATCTAGAGATTTGCAGATCTCCCTTGCTGCATCTCAGGTAACTGTGCATGCTTCAACAATAAGAAAAACACTGAATCGAAATGCCATTCATGGGAGGGTTGCTACGAAGAAGCCTCTGCTGTCAAAAAAGAACCAAACTGCCCGTCTTAACTTTGCCAGAGACCACCTAGACAAACCTGAAGGTTTCTGGAAATCCATTCTCTCGAACGATGAGTCCAAAATTGACCTTTTTGGTCACAATCAACACCGCTATGTTTGACGAAAACCCAACACTGCCTACCACCAAAATAACCTTATCCCAACAGTCAAGCATGGTGGTTGGAATGTCAAGATCTGGGGACTGCTTTTCCTCCTCTGGACCTGGATGACTTCACATCATTAAGGGAACCATGAATTCTGAGGTATACCAGGAGATTCTTGAACAGAACGTCAGGCCATCAGTCAAGGAGCTAAAGCTAGGGTCAAAAATTGGTCATCCAACAAGACAACGACCCAAAGCATTCAAGCAAATCTACCAAAGAATGGCTCAGGAGAAAGAAGATTTGTGTTTTGGATTGGCAAAGTCAAAGTCCTGACCTAAATCCAATCGAGATGCTGTGGCAGGACCTGAAGCGGGCAGTCCATGCCAGACACCCCTCAAACCTCACTCAATTGGCTGAGTTCTGTAAGGAGGAGTGGGCAAAAATCCCTCAAAACAGATGTCAGAGACCGATTACTGGCTATAGGAGGCATTTAGTCCAAGTTATCGCTGCTAATGGAGGTGCCACAAGCTATTGACTGAAGGGGTTCACATTTAAGCACATATCAAATCGGAGTTTCTGTTAAATAAACCACTTTTGTTAAATAAACAATGAAAATATACCATATTTTTTTGTTTCTGTCATTTACTTGGAATGTCTTTATTTACGAATTGGGGTTTAGATAAGGATTTTATATGTTTATTTTTTATATTTTATAGCAAAATAATAACCAGCCCTGTAGGGTTCACATACTTTCAAGCAGCACTGTATATATATTAGGGCTGGGCGATATGGCCAAAATATCATATTACAGTATTTAAAAACAAAATTGACAGCATGTCAGTATTTGATGTTTTTGAATAAAAAAAAAGTTATACATTTACTTTAGGAGTAGATGCGTGACCCAAGGGTGGCAACACATACATTCTAAGTGATTTCAATGGGTCTTCCTCCGTTCTGATTGTTTTATACTGTTCAATTCAACTACAACCAAAACTATTTTTTCAGCATTTTCATCAATTTCTGCACTCATATGAGATCCTTTCCACACTGCCACGTAGGGCTGCACAATATGGGCAAACAATCTAGGACCTTATTTTTAACCAAATGTTGCAATTGCGATTTGACTTGCGATTTAGAGCAAAACACTTGGGTGAACTGTTGGAATCATGGAAATTGAATGATTATTCTAATTCTATAATAGTGGGCACTTTGAATACAGTGTTGTTTGACATGACAACGAATGAAAATGCCAGGGAGGCGTTATTGTGACAGGGTAGGAACCAAAGTGTTGATAAGTGTTTCCTAGGGGACCCTATCATCTTTGGCTACATTTTCTCTTAGCTACTTCATGTAGCTAACATATTCTTGCTTCGTGTATTCCTCTTTGATTTAGAAGCTACTGTTGCACAAACAACATGCTGATTTAGGTCTACACCATCACTGGTATTATCAGGCTGTATAGCTAATTAAGTTTGCTCTGACTCAGTACATTTATTAGCTAGCTAGTGATTAGCATTAGCGGCTAACAATTTGCGGCTAACAAGTTTTAGGCCCAACTTGCTAAGAAAAGACGAACTAGCTGTTTGCAGATGTAAGAAATACAAACTAATAGTGTAATTATAGAACGCTAGTGGAATTATATTAAGAAGCAAAGTGAAAACGGCATCGCTGCCATCAACATTGTTGCATGTGCTGCATTGACCATGCTGACTGAACGCCACTGTCTCGTGGTCGAGGAACAAAATACGCTCCTTGAGTGACAGGGGGAGGGGCTAGGTCTGTGTGGAAAGCAGCATGGAGAGAGAGAGAGAGAGTGGCGAGAGATGACTCAAGAAGATAAATAAACAATAAAAATGGACGTTACACACGTCATATCACATTTAACAAACCAAACATTCAAATACTGTTATAGAAGGTCAATAAAATAAAATAAACGGTCCGTGCATCAATACCGGTATATCGTAAAATACGGTATACCGCCCAGCCCTAATAAAGTGCATTCGGAAAGTATTCAGACCCTTTCCCCACATTTTCATACGTTACAGCCTTATTCTAAAATGGATTAAATACATTTTTTCCCCATCATCAATCTGCACACAATACCCCACAATGACAAAGCGAAAACAGGTTTAGAAATGTTTGCTAATTTATAAAAGAATATATATAAAAAATACCTTATTTACATAAGTACTCAGACCCTTTGCAATGAGACTCAAAATTGAGCTCAGGTGAATCCTGTTTCCACTGATCATCCTTGAGATGTTTCTACAACTTGATTGGAGTCCACCTAGGGTAAATTCAATTGATTGGACATGATTTG